GTAAAATCAAATGGAAGATATATCAGAAGAATAAACATTGTCATCGCAGAAAGCATTAATTACAAGATAATAATAAATCTTTTGAAAGACAAACATTTTCTATTTTTTCAATTCTCTCTTTCAGACCTTTTTGCAAATCAAATTGTGAAATGAAAACTGACAATTGATGATTTTCTTAAAAACATTTCAAACACTTTTTGCTATATGAACTTTTATCGTAGTTGTGAATTGTGATCAAAGAAGGTATAGAGGGAGACACCCAGAAAGACACTCAGAAGATGATTTGATAAATAACCATTTTTCATTCAACATTTTTTTTTCAAAACTTTAGAAACTGTTCCCTCCTAAAGAACGACGATGATTAGGCCATATGCAATTAGAAGAAGGGCTTTACTAGCAATCAATGTTTACTCAAAATTTGCTTGTAAAGTCAAGATTTCTTTAATCTTCTGAAGACTAGCAAAACCTGCATGCTTTGTTAGTTGCTAAAGGGCTTATATCATATTTCCTGCTTTAAAAGTAATAGTCACTTTGGTAAACAAACCTTTTGAAGACTAGATGAATCACTAGAATCTATTTTACTGACAAGCACGAGTAGAGGTACATCAGTCATATCTCGATGTGATAAAACTTTTTCCAGTTCGCTTCGTGCCAAGGCAACTTCATCGTCGTTTGTTGAACCGTCAACAACAAAGATCTGAAGAGCAAACAAACGAATGAAACTTCAACAATCAACAACCAACTATGGATTGATTTTCTTCAATAGGGAAACATATGGGTATGGCGGTGGTTTGACTGAATCCATGGGGGTAGTTAGGAATTTGAATTTTTTTTGGGAGAGGGCGGGGCAGCGGAGGCCCAATTTTTGAAGAAAAATATAGAAATTACTATATTAAAGATAACGTACAGAGGTAATATACAAACATGTACAAACCAAAGCAGTCATGGAAGAGAGGGTTAAACGGCAACAAGTGCTTGTTTTCGAACTCAGTACATAACAATTTAAATACTACGAATATTTGTTTCTCGATCTGCAAAAATTTTGGTTTGAAGTCCCTCGAGGATAGCGGAGAGGGCCCAGGCCCCTCTTACTACCCCCCTGACTGAATCTATCATTATCAACGCTTCAACATATACCGAATAGCATGCAGATAAAGCCATCCTCCACTTAAAAGAACAACATAAGCTGCCTATGTATTTTTATAGCAGAGATATATACATTGCACTGGGGTAGGGGGAGGGTGGGATTATAGATCAATTAAGTTAGGAACCATGGGTTTTCTTACGGAGCAATTTACCATATGATAAAAGACAATACAGCAAAAATACTGGGATTAACACGTGGTTGTAAAGGAGAACTTTCATTGGTTCATACATACAGGATCAGAATTAGCCAATAGAAAAGGGTCGTCTCGTGGAGTACTTTCCCTGAATGACGCCATTTGACTTGGCGCACGAAGCCGAATTTAAAGTGTATGAGTTTTACAGCTCTATAAAACGAAAACCTGGGTAGCTATGACATAACTGAACATCTCTAAGTAAAAATTTAACAGCTTATTAAACTTCACCCGTACTTCTCGTATACAATGCGGGAACGTGGCTATTTGTGGCAGAAAAATCTTGACTGACTAAGCGATTTGGGGGAGAGGGTCTTAGTGATTTAGTTTGGCTAGCAGATTTCTATTAAACCTAAAACCAAGTTGGCCCTTCTGTGCTTGCAAAATTGTCTTAATTAAGAGACAAAGTATACAAATGTTTTAAAGCATTTAATTTTTGTGACAATTGTCAGGTCCAAAAAGCTGACGTTTTTAATCATGACTCTGGCTCTTGGTACAGTGAAAAATTAAAAATACTTACTAAGCCTTCAACCCCACTAAAATAATGGTGCCAATACCGACGTATAGATTCTGAGCCTGTGGAAAAATGAAAGATGTTCTCTTACAGGAAATATAGAAGTCATTTACAGAAATATGAAAACTAACTCAAATCTTGGAAAGATTTCCTGGAACTGGCAAATCGGAACAGACTTTGAAGGTAGAAGAATATACCTAGGTGATTTGATATACGAGACGTTTGTTTGGTACAGTAGAAGAAAAAGCCAAAGTCCTCTAGTGAATTCGTCTTCCTGGGATAAGAGGTGTCGCATTTGAATGCAAAGATTATTAGGCCTACCCTGACTTGAAGATGGCTTACTTATTAGAAGACTTGGTGACTTGTTTTCCTTCGCTCTTATTTGTTTAAATGATAGCGGGGGTTGCAATAAGAAGGGCTAGTGTTTTATTGTAAACCTATTGAACAGGAGATGAAGGCGTCATGAGAGCCGAGATAAAGAAATCCGTGTCTAGATGGTTAGCTAAGTCGTAAATCAAAGGCCTAAAAGTATCAAGGGTCAAAAGGCTGCAAAAACTACCAGTGCGAGAGTCGAACTACCCGATTATGACTTACGATTATAAGTTCTTACCTCCAACCTCTTTTACATGGAGCTTAGCTCTAGCCAAAGAGATATCCTTAATTGAAAAACCTAAAATGTAAGGAATAGGCATACATGGGATTGAAAAGGCTTATATATTAAAAAAGCATTAATTCATTATACAAAATCAAAAGGGGACATTATATAACACCAATTCCATGCAAAGTTAATTCATATCATGTTAACTATGAAATATCAAAACCTTTATCTACTAAACTTTAAAATTCTGGATCACAACATAATTTTGAGTTATCTTTAAGATGATATTGTTTTTAGAATTCATGTTAATTCATGTTAATTCATGTGGCATAAATTTAATTTCCATGCATTATGTTAATAGTTAAAGAAAAATGCATGGAAAAATTTTCATGAAATAAAATGCTAGAATAAAGCCAAATTATACTATTGGCAAAATTAAAAAGCACTGCAAAAGTCATAAATTTTCTGCTATAAAGTTCTACTTGATACTCTTTTTAATGAGCCTGGGTCACTTGGCAACTTAGAAAACATAACAGCTATGATCCAATTGAATAATTATAGAATATGATAATTGTGCTGCTACTTACTTCCATTTGGCATACAAACAATATAAGTGGCAGTTTCACATATGCAGAAACATTCTTATTAGTTATTCTACAATATGTAAAGACTATAAACAATTATGGTGAATCATAGACTAACAACAAATAGTAATAGACCTTTTGTTGGGACTATTTCCTCCTCAATTTCCCCACAGACTGTTGACAGCAAAGTGCTTTTTCCAGCCCCACCCAGTCCCAATGCTAGCAAAGAAAACTCTTCTTTCACTATCTGCTCTTTCTTGCAACATTTGCAGCAAAGCTATCAATGAAGAAAACTTTATATGAAAATCAAATTTCAAGATTAGCCAAAATTTATACTTAGTTAAAGCAGCAATCTGAAAAGCTTTCACCCTCTTTCAAATCCTTGCATAATGCAAGTAGAAACAGTCAAAATTACCTATGTCAATTCAAATTAATGAAAAAATATTTAATCTTTAATTACAAATAAAAATCAGCCAAATGTAACAATGAAATAACAGTTGGTTGTCAGCTATGTGCATGTTGTGTGGTTTTTCAATTTGTATTATCAAAGGTGATAAATTCATTGCCACCTTACGCATTAAAATTCAATATTGGAAATATTTTCTTTGTAATTTGCAGTCATAAAAAGCCATAATTTATATATATATTCATATTTCTGAGGTAGCCAAACTAGACAAAGTCTAGAAACCAAGCCTAGAAACCAAGCCTAGAAACCAAGCCTAGAAACCAAGCCTAGAAACCAAGCCTAGAAACCAAGCCAAGAAACCAAGCCTAGAAGCCAAGCCAGGAAACCAAGCAATGAAACCAAGCCTAGAAACGGGAAGCCTAGAAACGGGAAGCCTAGAAACGAAGCCTAGAAACGAAGCCTAGAAACGAAGCCAGGAAACTAAGCAATGAAACCAAGCCTAGAAACCAAGCCAGGAAACCAAGCAATGAAACCAAGCCTAGAGACAAAGCCTAGAAACCAAGCCCAGAAACCAAGCCAGGAAACCAAGCAATGAAACCAAGCCTAGAAACCTAGTCTCAAAACCAAGCCTGGACTTGAAATCAAGCCTGGAAATATTAGACTTAGATACAATTAACCTTGTGCTATTCACACAAAAGACTCATGAAGTTTAGCAGATTAATTTCACTTAAAAACTAACTTTCACTTAAGGAAACTTTGAATTTCAGTTCCTGAACTCAACAATATTCAATCTTTTGGAAAAATTTAGGTTTCATGCATGCATTTAAAATTTTTTGAATACGCCTTACAACAAAATAAAACATTGCAGCAATTAAAATTGAATACTCACTGTGTAGCATAAGATTTTACAAACACCACAAGCAAATGAGCAGCACTGGGACATTTTTCTCCCAAATGTCTCCTGTCAACTCCAACACTGTTGATTGAAAATTTCAGAATTTTTTAAAAGTTAAATACATGGTGTATTTGGCAGGTTAGAAACTTAAGGCTCGAAACTGGCATTTCAAATCTTATCAGTTGAATTCACAAGGAATTCATGATAAGCAACTCACCTTTATCTTAGACACTTATCTAAAACTAAAACAGTTTGTGGCTACCCCTTTATCAATTGAATATACCCATGAATATCACAACCTGCACTTTACTTACGTTTCTGTTTATCAAAAACTGTCAATAGGACCCAGAGTTCTTAGATGACCAAAAGCTCGGAAACTTAATCACACTCAACCCTAAGAAAATGGTCTAAAGCCTTTCACATTTGATGGTGTGATTGGAAATGATTCCTTTGGAAGATAATATAACTATTATATAAAGTTTATATAAAGTTTGTGTATATTATATGTTGCTGGCATCAAAGCTTTTGAAGAGCAGGGTAGAAAAGCTTTTGAAGAGAAGAGAGGGAAAGGGGGTTGTGTCGAGGAATTGTTTTGTCGGTCTTATGGCTTCAGCCTGGGCAGCCGGGGGGTGTAATCACAAAATTAATAGGTTTTTAGTATGTACAGGGGGGTGCTCTCTCCTCTAGACTATCTACTGATAGAGCTCCTTCTATTCTTTAAGAAATTCCTGCATGCAAATCTCCTTGGTTTTTTACCATTATTTTTATTTTTGTTCTCTATTTTGCTTAATGTATGTAATTCATTTCATCTTATGTAATGTTTAACCTGTAGGGTAAACCGGGGTAATTTGGGACAATTTATAGGTTTTTTTTCTACCACTGCTCCATTACAGCTTTTAGAAAGGCCAGCTTTTCATATACATTTAGGTAGTGAAAAATTACTATTTGAAGAAATTTTTTTTCTATATTCCTTTTTCGGTAATGTATCTTACATTTAAGAGCTCTGAAGCACAATTCAAGTAGGCGGTTGCTGAAGTTTACATAAATTGTCTGATTCGCTGTTAAACCATTCATCCAAAACTACTAGTGACACTGAGTTTAGCGACAACAATCAGGTATCAACTGCTGATGGGGAGGTGCTGACCTACTATGCTGAATATGAAGATTATTTTCAGTAATGTCGTCTCAAATTACCCCATCCGCCTAACATACACATTTCATTATTGCAAATGATCAAATGAGCTAAATCAAAGGCACAGACAAACTGGGTCAAAAGATACAAATGTTTGCTAAAATTTCAGCACAATTTCATTAATTGTAACAACTTTAAACATACAGGTTATCTTCTAGCAATAGTAAATTTCCCAAATTGTGGTTGTCCCAAATTTCCCCTGTCCCAAATTACCCTGGTTTACTCTATTTTAAAAGATTTAATGTATGTATGGATTTTAAAATCAAAATGACCTGAACTGAAGATAAATATTTCATTTAACACTCTTTTCTGCTAAGCTTTGTTATAATCATGAACTTGAAAAGCTTTGAAGACATAAACTGCACGTATTACGCTTAAAATCTTACAGTGTTTCCCTAGACAAAAATCGTTTCCCTAGTTCTCCGGGAGACTGAAGGGCGGGGCCACAAAATTTTTTTTGGGGGTCCGGTTTTGTAAATCACCCCTAGGCCCAAGCTGGCTCTAAGACGGCCCTTGTGCCTCCACGTACAGTTTTGAGTGGCGATATAAGAATCTTATCTGACCTGACAGGGAACCATCAATCTTTCTGTGTAGCAAAATTTTCTCTCGAAATGTCGGGAAATATATACAGATGAAATTTGAAACAGCATACCTTTATTACGGTGGATGTATCCTATTATATCCGATCATATGTTTGGCTTTCGCTTCGTTTCTTTCTCCAGTAACAATGTTTTGAATATCCATTGAGTTTGAATTTTAGTCCGTCTGAAACCGAGGCTCCCAAAATGCAGCTCTGTCCCGAGGTCAAGAAAACCAGAAACTGCTGCCAGAAAAAGTTCTAATGAGAATCAGTGACCGATTTCAGCAACAATGATTGGGGGGAGGGGGAGGGGTGCTAGACACTCATGGGATTTTGGTTTCACACTCTTCAGGTCACTGGTAAATGATAGAAACACCCAGGGGTGTAGTGCTGTCAAAATAACAAGGGGGTTATTGCACAAAACGCTGCGAAAAACAATAGCAAAAGTAGAAATTGGCTATTTTTTGGTATTAACAAGGGAGGCTTTGCCCCCTAGCACTAGACCCCTGGAAATGCCCATTTTTGAAATTCGGTTTTAAAATTTAAGGTAGAGAAAATAAGAAGCAGTGGCGTAGCCAGGGTTGGAAGATTGGCGGGGCAAAGAGTAGAAATTTTCTGTCCCTGACGAGAGTGTTTGGCAAAAGAAAATATTTGGCAATAATGGTATCCCATACAGAAAGCTTCATACGGAAACTCCATATATTTTTTTAGAATTTTCTTCTGTACTCCAAAAACACCAGTGACCTTTCAAAATATTTATAGGAATGCCTTTGCCCCCTCCCTTGTAGCCCCAGTGAATTTTCAATGTTTTAAACAATAGCCTAGTGTCCTCCTCTTTATATAAACCAAGGATTGTCCCCGTAGCTTATTTCCCCGCGAAAGGGCTTTCGATAGGGAACCATTCCAACGCAAATTCACTTTGGCATTATTTATATTATTTATAACAAGACTTGTGAGAGGAGACAACATCTGTTGACTTTGATAAACGTACCTATGATCTACAATTCTACAGCGTCCCCAGCATAATACGATTTGGTGTCAGAATATCGCGATAACAGAATATCACCCGTAAGTTTGTCGTATCGCCCATAAATTAGTCAGTTGGTTTCTTCTAAGCACTGATAACATATTCTCGAAAAAACACAGTAGGAAATGAAGAAAAGAAAGAAACAAAGAATGAGAAAAAGCTATAATTTGACAATCGACAGATTAGGCAAAGAAAAAGGAATATATGAATTTCTTTCGATATTTTCAATAATCTTATTTCAATTGCAAACACAATAATTTTGTCTGGTAGTCAGAAGCACACTAATATTTATAATTCTTGTTCCTGGTATTAACATATAACAGATTTCAACTTTCAAATAAATAAATAAATTACAAAAGTACAAAAAGATTTTAATCATTCTAACCATTTCTCATAGCCAAGTAATTTTACAGTTCTTTATCATGTAGTCAAAAGGCCTCCGACTAAGGTCACAATTGAACGATGCAATATTTGCGAGAATCCTCACTCCTAATCATAATACAATTATATCTCTGTCTTGTGGAAAAGGGCGCAATTTAACAGCTCTGGACCAGTGGAAAATGTCTTTAAAAACACGAGAAAATACATAACCTCTATTGTGATTCCTTATCCCCCTATCTCCAATCGTGATATTACCATTTATTTCATCACTTTCCTTACTTCCTAATATCCATAATGGGTGCAAAAGCCACATAATTTCGAACGGGGTAACAGAAATTAGGAGCGGAGAAGCGGAGGAGAATCTATCTGAAAACATCCATCTGAGAGGAACGAAAAGCTAAATGCTCCTCCGCTTCTCCGCTTGGTTCTTCATTTCCATGTTCGAAATTTTGTGGCTCCGGCATCCAAGATACCCAATATCCATTTTGACATGCTTTAAAACAATTTTCTTTACAATTTGGTGTTGGTTTGCACTACAATCAATTTGAACAGTAGCTCATAAACCTTATATCCAACTTAGTTGAAGCCTTCTTGGAAGACAGTTTGCATCATTTAGCATTACCAAGAAACTAACATGGGGAGAAGAAACATTTATACTGGGATAAAACGATGTCGCCAATTATTAAGCCTAGCTATACTCATTACTTTTACACTTGGACTAAATCTATTTTCTGTACTTAGGTATTGTTTTTTGGCTTCATAGAAATTATCGGAATTGGTACATCTGTCTCTTAACATAGTATTTTGAGTCTAAAGTGCTTTAGTCTTGAGTCTAACTAACAAACCTATTGATATTTACATTTTACTTGTCCTGTGGAATTTATTTGGATCTCCATTAATTAGCTTTTAAGTTTGATAAGTTCAGTTAATATTTAAATATCATTTCGTTTATCACATTCTAGACAATTTAAAAATGTTTGATTTTTTATGTTGCGCACCAATTCCTAGAATATTGGGCACCGTTTATATAATTTTCTCAGAAAAATCCTAACATTTCAAAATTTCTGCTACCACTGACTTTATCCACTAATTCTTAAGGCAACAAAAATTAGCCTTTTGTAAATACTACACGTATCTGCACGTTACTTTTCCTAATGTGAAATAAGCTCTTAACCAACAAAAGTTTTTCTCGCATTCCAGATTTCTCTTTAATCTATATTGATCATTTGAACTGCTGTCTGTAGGCCTATTTCCTTAAGGCTCGAACACAAAGCAAACTCCAGAACCTTTACTGACCATTTTAACAAAAGCTAATTGTGCATCATGACATCACTGCATTAGTAGGTTGAAAATGTTCTAGTTGAAAGATCAGACCAGGTCTTTTCTGAATTGAAATAGCTTATTTAGACGACTCAAGATAGCATTGGCTATGAATGTAATGAACTGGTGTAAATTACGGTACTGTTTAGGGGTTTGGTGAAAACATGCTTTGATTCGAGTCTTAAAAAATTTGTCTTAGCAAATGAATTTTACTAATGAAAAATTTACGCGATTGTTAAACCTCAAAAGCACGAACGATGCAAGCAATGGGGACCCTATAAGCAACTTTAAACTAAACATGGGATGTTTTGGTTATTTGTGGGTGCATTGGCAAGGGAAATGTAAACCATATGAAAGATAATTAATGCTTAAGGATAAAAATTGCATGATTATCCTACACATTTAGGGAGAGCTATGCTCCTTGATCAGACCATTGACATTTATCATTGTTCAAAAATGAGCAAAATAAAGTATTCTGGCTCTCTTAAAGCCGGAATGGAGAACACGCTAGACAACATAAAATGATGAATGTGTCTTGCACATTTATTACTACAGACTCTGCTTTGTCAGATCGACTTTGGTTAAGTCTTCTTGGCAAAGTATGCAAGACTCGGCGCCCTTCCTGTGTGTCTCAACCAGGTGCTCCAAAGAGCAACCATCGATGCAATTGGATTCTTTTCTATTCATTACAAAGTCTTTCATTGATTGTCTCCTTAAGTAAATCTTTGGGGTGCTGTCCTCCTTAACAGTATCATCATGAAAGGGTTCTTGCACAATCGACCATCTTCGCTGCAAACCTGATCCAAACAGCAAATCATCAGCAGCTTCTGTTGAACCTGTCTGCAATCGTACCTGAAAAACAATGATAGATAGTTCAAAGTCGAGAGAAAACCTTGACTCTCTTTAAAAAAGAAGTGTTTCATTGGAATTAGCTCTTGTTTGGACGCAGTGCTTTTCTTGCAAGCACATGGGATCACATACTAAAGGCTTCCTTATAACACAAGACCGGAACCAGCCCAAAGCTCTTGCAAAAACCTTTTGCATTAACGAAATACAGCGCTATTCTGACCTATATGTATATTAACCGTTACTCCTCTTATTATCTTTACCTAATATATAGTTATGCCCGAAACGTCGAAATTCCATTGTAAAAAGTCGTCAATTAATAAAATCAATTTTCAGTCATTATTCACTGACGTTCAACACGCTAAACTGTATTGACTATACTTTCCAAACCATGTTTACTTGGGGAGTTTTTGATCGCGCAAAAGTTTAGAGAAGCTTTCAAGGGTTTATAACCTGCATAGAGGAAATCGTAAGTCTCTATTTGTTAAGTCTGCACTCAGGCTAGCATTGTAGTACACATCGTGGAATCATCTCCAAAGCAGTCCACAGAAAAATCCCAATTGGATGCAAATCGTTACTCATTGAAAATGTCTGGATACTTCCAAGATTGGTAAAACAGGATTCAGACGGACCTGGATAATAAATGCACGCCTGTCCTTCATGTCATCACAATGTCCTTACATTCGAGCAGATCTATCTCGTACCGTGTCTTAACAATAATATACAAATCAGACTTAGATTAACTGAAAAGGCACGGAAATTTGCCCCAAAATGTGTTGATGCTGGGAATCTGGATGAATCTGTCCAGTTATGAACGAAAGTAGTTTGAACTCAGCCATCCTCGCACCTATGGGTTTGATGTGGGTGAGCCCCCACCTGCTTCGACGGTAGATGGTTATGTAGAGCACAGAGGTCTGGTTGCGGAAATATAAAGTTTCAAAGAGACTTTTGATACAGTAACTTTAAATGTGTATGATACCGTTGAGGAGAACAATTGTCCTGTGCCAACAGGGTAGGACAAGCAGTTGGTCAACTGTTTCTTTAATCAAAACCCTTAGCATTCAACACGTGTCACTGGCGAATCCGGTCAGTGAATTTAAATAAGCCCGAATCCGGTCAGTGAATGTAAATGAGCCCGAATCCGGTCAGTGAATGTAATTAAGCCCGAATCTGGTCAATGAATGTAAATTAGCCCTAGCTATGAGTTAAACGTGTCTTACTAGCAACTACCAGCACAGCAGAAACAGCTCTACCATGGCATCGGTCGGAGATAAGTGCAATTACATTTTCCTCTACAGAGGCTACAATGGAATAACATAACACACGTGGCTATGAAATTAAGAAGACCTTGGTGAATGTTGAAAAATACAGATGAAGAAACTAACAAAACATTTTGCTACTGAAGCGAAAAGTAGAGTTTAAGTGTGTCGTATAGTTACCTGTTTCCGAATGTCTAATAATTTATGGATCGCAACATGTTCAACTAAGACCTTTACATCCGGGAATTCTTCCAAAATATTTTTGAAACTGGCAGCAGGTAGGACAAATAAATCGCAGACTGAAGCGGCTTTCGCACTGGTAATTCTCCTAGCGTTCGCCAACAAGCATATCTCTGAAATGAAATTAATTATAAAACTAAGAGCATTTTGCTTTCATATATAAACAATCTTTTGGTGGTACAAAGCTTGAAAATGGCCTTGAAAGAGCAGGCATTTAAGTAAACCAAAGCCTTTCGTCTGACACTCTTCGGAGTTTAAAACGGCAGAACACAGATCGAAAACTCTACGCTATGAAATATATATATATAGCCAGTTGTTGATTAAAATAGGCCAATTAGAAACGCGAGCACATGACTGTTGAGGTTGCCTAATCAGTGCCGCTTGCCTATTGAGAATGTTATCAATGGAGTCCTAAGGTGAAAACGAACTCCTTTTGTCTACACAGTAGCGGTTTTTTCGTGCTTATGTAGATATATTCTAAAACTGCTAGGTGGAACGACGATCGGGCTTTACCAATAATCCGAAACATGTCGCCATTATAGTTTTTTGCACAATCTGGGTTTTCCAGAAAATGCTGCACGATAGCAGAATCTTAACCCAACGCTCCTAGCTCAAAACTGCATGAAAAGTATAAAAAACGGACCCAAGAATTCTACCAACCTCCAAAGTAGTTTCCTTCATTCAAAGTGGTAGTGCGCTCTCCATTGACCAATATATCCACTGATCCTTGCCTTATGAAATACATCTCAGTTCCAAAGGTCCCTTCTCTGATTATGTAATCACCAGGTAAGAAAACTTCAAACCGGAGTAGGGTCAGCACTTTTCTCACGAACAAGGCACTGCCATTCTTGAAGAACGGGACAGCGTCAACGAGATCTCTGCAGTTATGGCTCACAATCTCCTGTGGATTAGACAAATAACTAAGTTTTAGACAACAGAATGGCAAAAATGGAGTACGTTATAGCATCATAACATCTAAGGAAATGCTGTAGAAGCTGCGAAAAAGGGTCCTACGGAATTGTGCAACGTGCCACACACTAATTGATATGAATTGGTAGAATTATCATTGGTGTAAGGTGTTGTACAACATATGTCATACCAAGGATTCTCAATTCACTACCTCGCGTTAATACCAAATATTCGGCCTTTTTGTCTCAAATATTCGCCATAAATAGTAACTATAATAATAAAAGATCATTCAAGGCGACAGAAGGAAAAGTGAGATAATTAGCTAACCTCTTTGAGTGGTCTTGATATCTCACCAAGGATCTGCTCTTCATTGAACATTTTGCCTTGATATCTATGCTCATAGTAATTCGACAGCCTCTCTTTCACGTGATCAGGTAAAGATCGGTAGGTCATGTATTCCTCCACTTGCTTGAACTACAACAACATGAGAAAAATCATCGAAGATAACATTTTATGATCATATCAAAAAGAGAAGGATATTGGCAGCTGGAGACTCATTTGATAGATGCGAGAAATGGGAACATGGGTTTCCTTAAAATGCAAGGGCCTAAGTCCACTTCTGGAGCATAGCTCTAGAAAATGAACGGTCAACCATCCTGTGCAACCTTTCACTTAGTAGAGACGACTAATGAAATTGGTATTAATTCCTTATGCAGTGCTTCAGTAATTATCGTTTACCACTGCCATTTACCAGTGATGTATGCAAGGAGGATGTTGGGGGAGGGGGGAGTGGGACTCGGACTTCTCCACTTTTCATACGCGTGGCACAAAAGGCAAAGAAATATCTAGGGTTGGGGCATGCAAATGTATTACATTTAGGCGTTACTGAAAGACATTGATTACAATTGAAAGTACAATCAAAAGTGCATCGCTCGTTTCCCAAACGAATAAAGGGCATGACTGTATATAATTTCCCTGGCGGCAGAGCCTCCATACACCCTGTTTTCCAGTAACTGCAGACGCCACTTCCATGTATTCTTGGATGAGTCCCTGTCCGTTTGGGCACTTGCTGACAAGGTAAGTTGGTTGGAAGATGAAAAATCTATGTCCTATCACTGTATGTAATGAGTCCAAATGGCTATTGCGCATGCCAATTACTACATGGCCATAGGATGGCCCAAAACAAGGACTTATAATTGTTCAACCCTCCCCCCTATTCTCAATCTCATTCGTGTACTAACCTTTTCTGCGTACTGTCTCCTTGCAGAGTCGACATGCTGGATGTATGCCATGGAGTGAGCGATGAAAAGAGCATAGAAAGTTGCCCCCGTGATCATACTGAATATAGTAATATAGGCTTCAGACAAAGTGGCAGGGGGGTATCTTCCATATCCAATGCAAAGCATATGCGAAAGAGCTTTAAAAAGAGCCCATGAATATTGCACTGTCCATTCTGCATCCTGAAAAAGTCGAGTAAATTATCATCTTCTGCATTGCATAAGAAACTTGATTGGCATGGTGAAGGCTAGATAGCCTTGTAAATGGAATATGGAAAATAAAGTTACGGTCGAAAATTCATCTACTATTTTTAATTATATGATGTTGATGAGACCCTATAGGCTGAAAAACATCGATATATTTTCTGAAAAATGAAATAAAATCTGTTTCTATGACAGCCCCTTTGGAAAATCATTCTGTTCCGAAAGATAATTTTTTTGCCATGTAGGGATGCATCGTCAACAAATTTCAAGATCTTACCAGCGCATAAAGGACGGCTCACCTTGTCGGGAAATGGGACCTGAACAGCCCTCCCCTCTAGAGAAATATTGCTAGGGACGGCCCTGATTTCAGCCTTGCAGTTGCTTAGTCAGGCAATCCTTAGTTGCTACTCTGAGTTTCACGCTTAATGCAACTGTTGTTTTATTTATCTGTTCTTTGATGTTAGAGATTCAAAGAGAGGCAACTATTTTTTGATATTTAAAAAATTCATTTGATCATGGTTTTCTGTAAAACAGTATTCAAATAATGAATGGTCTATTAATAAAAAAGGCAAAATTAAAAAGAAATGAAATGACGAATTTCGGAAAATATCGGTTAAAATAAAAAAAATGGTGCATAGAGAATCATAATACTGGCAAGAGAATCAAAATATTGGTAATGTTTTTGGCTATTTAGGCATAACATAGGCAAAAACCTTGCACAGTGAAAGTACTTCTCAACAGCCCCTTAAAATATATGCGAGTGCTGAATCGACTGATATACAGAATTGAATTGAATTGAATTGAATTGAATGTGGAGCTCAAACAAATTGAAATGAACAAGTATCGGGACAAAAAGATTTATGTTGGGCGTACTCCTGGGTTGAATTTTTGGGCAAATAAATTTGAAGTTCTATCCCATAGTTTCATGAGGTTTTTTCTGTCGCTATTTTCGTATTCAAATTTCATCAATAATTAAAAAGTGATGAATTTTCTTTAACTCACTCTAAAAAATGACCCTTGATTATAACCATCATCTAGGTTTTTATCAGTGAAAACACCAAGGGTTTTACGAGGTCAAATTAAGTCTTCTTAATACGGCTAGGCTATTTTGAAGCAAGAAAGAGGACTATTTAAAGCACAACTTTGTACAACAAGAGAAGTTGTCCGCAATTTAGATGAATACGTTAATGCTAAAAGGAATTTGGAAGGTCAAATATAACGAGATATTTTTACGCTTTTTAAACGAACAAAGGTCGAAATTAAGATGGCAGCTTTTATGGTTTGCAGCTGTGCCTAGTAAGATTAAATAGGGTGAATTATCTCAACTGAACCTTAGGACGTATTCTATATAGAAAGCAAATGGCCAGTTTACGTTTCTGACTCTGTTTTTGTATGAAAATATGCGAATTGAATTATCTTAAAGCGAGTGACTTAAACAGCTAGGACAAAATAACTGTTAGAGGAGCCAATTTGTTTGAGAAGCTAGTCCCTCAAAACTATCTCAATGATTTCTTCGTCTTAACTGAGAGTAATGGCATCAACAAGCATCATCTTCTTTTAAATTTTTTTGGCTCAGCATAGCGAGCTATCAGTTCAGTTCAGTTCAGTTTTACTTTAAATTCCACTTTCAGTTCAGCTTAAAAGTATAAACAATGTAAAAGGAAGTTAAATAATATAAACGTAACATAACAAATACAGAGTAGAGGAGAAACAAGCTAGTATTGTAAACAGGGAATTATTTAAAGGAGGAAACTTTCTCAGTAGTTTATAAACTAATCGAGGAGAAAGCACCCCGTAGTAAATTAGATACGTTCTGCTTAATTTTTAGTTCTAAAAGTAAAAAGAATCATCTGTAAGTTGCTATCAGTCATCCACAGAAAAATATCATCTATTTATAGACTAAGTTTTTGTGTAAGTACATTGTATCGATGGTAAATGTTTTGTGTAAGTACATCCACCATTAACTTGTTCTTTTGTTCTCTCAGAAATCTCTTTATATTCGTCGGAAAAAGGGAGGTCTCGAAAAACTTTTGTGGCGGAAAACCCCGGAGCCAGTTTCACTTTTTATGAATCACACGAAAAAACAACATATCAGAAAATTAAAGCTTTTCGTCTGACACTCTTCAGAGTCTCAAAAGTCAGAACACAGATCGAAAATTCTACGCTAGGAAATATATATCCCAGTTGTGGATCGAAATATACCAATCAGAAACACAAGCACATGACTGTTTTAGTTGACCAATCAGTGCCGCTTGCCGAATGAGAATGTTACCAATGGAGTCCTAAGGTGAAAACGAACTCCTTTTATCCTTATTTCAAAAATTATATCAGAAACTTCTTATATCAGAAACCTACTCCTTTTATCAGAAAATATACTCCAAAATAGGACATCTAAAAAATTGGCTTTTGTACCTTCAGATTATTGATGGTGACCCAACAATCATCGGGGAAGTCTTGAAGCATCGGCACAAGGAAACCGAGGCAGCCATTCCAATGGGCAACAAGTAGCATCATTGCTATTAGCTTAATGTAACGCATAAACGAGGTTGTCATGTGGAATATCTAGAAAAGAAAAGATTTAGCATGTTTTAAGACGGGGCTTCTCATATTAATCGAACGATGCAGGGGGGGGGGGAGTGTAGAATTCATAAGTGTTCTTAGATTTCACCATGCTTTGATACGTTTTCAAATTGCAACAAACTGGTAAATAAATTCGCATGTTGCTATAAAACTGATAAATTTAATTCGCTGGAATTTATTCAGCCAAATTTTCAAAGTGAAAACACAGCTCTCTACAATGGACTTATCCCTACAACAGACATCTGTATATAACGGACACCTACATACAACGGACAACTCCCTACAACGGACACTTCCTTAGCAGATACCTCACAACATAGAACGTCTCCCTACAACAAAGAATTCTCAATAACAGACACTTCGATATAATGGACATCTCCCTCCAACAGACAGTAGCTCTGATCCCAATATATATTCAAATAATGAGCTGATTTGCTTCATTTTCAGCTTTTCTTGTGAAAATGTTGCTCTATTTTAGTACCCGGCTTAGTTTGAAACATATGTTACAACAAAAAGTCATAAATGCTTTATTGTAGACATACAGTTGTACCTCAACGAACAGACACCTTTATTCTTCAAAAACCTATTTACAATTAACAGACAAATATTTTTGGCCCAAATGGTCAAAACACTCTTCTTCAAAACACTCTTAAAATAACCTCTATATAGCAGACACTTCTAAACAACGGGCAATTACACTGGTCCGAACAGTATCCGTTATATGGAGGTTCCATTGAAGTTATTGAGCAGAAGTGGCCCCGTAACGGATTCTTTCGGTACCCCACGACGATATTTGCCATGACGATATTTGCTTTGTCAGTCCTCTAGACATATTAACAACAAAGAGGAATTTACAAAAGTATCTCTTTATTGAGGAGTTACGTTTTGGAAAAAGTGGTAAGAAGGTCACTTTCAATTTTGGCAACTATCAGTATGTAAAACGCATGGAGAAACGTCTTTTTCTTCTATAAAATCTTCTTAAAAGAAACAGCACATAGAAAAAGCAAAAATTCAATTCTAACTTGATTTGATAGAAAAAGTAACAGTGAAAAGATCGAAATTTGATCGCTTAGCTTTGTTGTGAATCATTAACCAAATGCTTCTATAGAGCATCAAGATTTCTTTGTTTTTTGGTGCTCTAATACTCAGATTTGAAAACCCAAAGATGCATTCAAAGAGCGTTGCTAAAACAGAAAATGATAGTCAAAACATCCGAAAGCAAAGACTAAACCTCAAAGTACTGGAGTCCAAATCTGCAAGTTTCTTGGTATCCTCAGATTTGGTAACTCAAATTTTCTTGCAACGACAACAAAGAGTCGCCTCTTTCAGCAAAAATAACAATAAAAGTTTCTCCTAGGTATTCCTTGGCAATAGAAATACCAGAATTGCCACAATAAGAATCGCTTGGGTGATAAAGGGCTTTGAAGGTACCAATGAAATTGTAGAAAACTAGGATTTTTTTGCTCGAAGAGGTGATGTGTGGCAACAACGAGGCACACAATAAGGAGGCGATTTTCTTTCAAACATAAGCGGAAAAACGTGACAAACTTTTAAATGGTTTTATTCGGCACAAATCTTGTCAGGGTGCAAGGAAATACTGCCAGCAAGAACATTGGCAATAGATTCTTTACACTAAAATCTTAATGAGAGTTTCCACTAATTTCTGTCGCGAAAATTTTCGCTTTCATTCAGAATCGTTGCCGACACAAAAAGGTGAACTAAATTAGTTGATTTGAACTAAGATTTGAGCTATATCGGCTATTCTTCAGCAATAGACTTTTGAGGTGTTGACATTAAGATCCATTTATCGCCGCCATCTTGTTGATTCTTTGACGACAGGATTATGGTGCAGGTTACCTCTTCAATGTACAGCTTGAGCACTGAAGCTCTGGCTAAAGATCCTTCGCAGAGGAGATCAGCACTTAGTGAGGAGATGCCACAGCAACTAAATTTACATCTCTCTGATGAATATCTTGTTAATGAGAATACTATCCATATTCACTTAAGGCAATTGATACTGTACTTATTAGAAGGGTTCTTGTAAAAATGAAGAATTCCTTTAGATTTGGGCTTGATGGTAGGACCAGTCATTTTAGCAATCATCCTGCCCACCTGTATTACCATTCATCTCACAATCTCCTTGCAGTTTTCTAAATTTTCAAACAACTCTAGGATTTTTCTCGATAGTTGGGAAAATGCACATGTGGCACCCATCTCAAAGAGTGGAGGACATGGCTTTCTGTATAAATATAGACCAATTCTGTTCTCATGTTGTATTTAGGCTGCTTTCAAGGCTGGAACATATTCAGCTCTCCAATGAAATTGACGAAGATAAACATTTTTGAAAATTCCAGGTCCGGGTTTTGCACTCAGTAGTGCCAAGTGTCAGGCTCATCGCTGTTATCTTCTTTGATATCAAAACGCCCTTTAAAACAGCTAACCATAAAATATTCCTAGCTAGAATGCATGATGATGACATCTTTGGACACGGTAATGATTGGTTTTGCTCTCTTTCTTTTGCAAGCAGTTCGGCAAAGTATTGAGCACATCTTGAGAAATTCAGCCTATAGATATGGTGCGAGCTCCACAAGACTCGCACCTTGGGCCCCTCCTGTTTTTGAGATACATCAACGATCTGCTTTTGCCTTAAAAGAGGCTTAGATGATATAAATTTATAAATTTTGCCATGCAATGTATGTCGATGATATGAGAATCTGCAAATCTTTGGAAAACCTGTAGGATTTGAATGCTGTTGAAAATTCAGAACCTACATGTCTTAACAATTGGCATCATGGCAATGATCTACTATCGAACATTAGTGGACCATGGCAACTCAGGTCTTGATAATTTGGCTCGAAAAAACCGATATCCTATATTAAGAAATCATCATTTGCTAGTCTAAGAATTAATGAAATCGATGATGCTATTGGTCTCAAGGCCAAGTAAATGTCTTGGCCAAAACATTGATGTTTTCACGGGCTTTTTTGTGTCACTAGGTGAAAAAGATTGCACAACAACAAAACTGGCACACAATCTGGAAAGCTAATCCGCCAAAAACCATCAGCAATCGTCCATAAGTGCCTGGGCAAGCTAACCTCGGAATTTCACCACATTCGCTTTCTCCACAAATCTTAGACTGACTTGCAAATATTCCCAATACTGATATTTAATGAATAAAAATTGTCTGCCTATCACTTTACCAAATTTAGAACGTGCATGACTTTTAAGACAAAATGGCATCCTCGCTTCACTGCTTCAAATCTAGACTGAAAATTTACAGATATTTCTACTTTGATTTTTAGGTATTTTCTTTCTGTTTTCAAACCTTTTTTAGTTTTCTTCTTCCTCTAGAAAAAATGATATGTAGCCACTTGTACTATAGATATTTAAAGTTCAAATAAGTTAGGTTGGGACCAAATCTAAAAGGGAACGTATTCCAAAACACATGTTTTATATATTGGAAAACAAATGTTCATCTTGTCCTAAAAGCAAAAACACAGGATAAGCGGACTACAAACGATTGCTAAATGTTTTTTACCGCGGCAAATGATAACACAAAGCTGTAAGGTATCACGTGTAAAGAACTAAATCTAATTTGCTGGCACAAATTATATCAGCTGATGAAAATCAAGTTCCTAGGTTCGTTAGCTGCTACAGGTTAAGACTGAGATTTGATCCGCTGCTATTTAAACACGGCATAAATAAAAATTCACTGCCTCTGTTTATCTTCTGGTCTTAGTTTGCATCTAGGATTATGAAAGGCATGTTTTTGTGAGATCCGGGTGGATAACGTGGCTCATTTTCGATATGCCTGTTCGAAAAGTCAAGATTGATGTTAAGAAGATTAAATTTGCAATCACGAAGTGGGTCAAAAAACTGCAGGCGACAGGGATATTTTTAGGTTACTTCATTATAAAATGGGCGAGATTGGATTGTTTTTAGGAACAAACTGTGTGATCTTTGGATAGTTAATGACTTCAGTAGATCTACATGCCCTTGAGGCCTAATCCAAATGGTTTAAAGAATTGCATATGGCATATATTCCATAGAGAATGAAGGTATATGACTTTTATGGACAAAATTGACATGGTCCCGGGCACGAACAAACGTTAAGGCCAAATCATGGCACGAGCGACAAAGTTTTGGCCAAAACCTTCTAAATCGGAGTCTTCAACCAAATATCTACCGAAATTATAGCCGAAATTCACAATGAAATTCACAATTCACAATGAGACTAAGTTTCCAACCTTGGGTCTTTATCTTGCATTATTGATGCCAGCGGCGTCTCTGGCAATAATTTAAGCGCGTAGGTAGCCAGAAAGATGTTGAAAATGATTTTCAGTCTTGACACAGGAGTGTTCATTTTCTTATGCATTTCCCAACAATTTTTTTCAACTGTTGTTAATGCCTACAGACAGTCAATTCTATTTCAATGTAATTCGAAAGAAAATTGTACTTTTGTTGTTTTTCGTTCAAACTGAAATCTCAAAAAACAGATAACTCTTAAGAACAGATAGCTTAATACAAACAATAAAAATCCTAAATATCACGTACAGCTCGTTACCAGTACCAAATGACGTCGTGCCTATTTCTGCTATGGATGGCATAGAATGTATTTTGTTGCTGTGTTGTTGTGCCGATTTTCGACATAGATATAAAAACGAGAAGGGAAGAGCTTTTTAGAACAAGAAGAAAAATTGTTATTTTTGGAGAATGGATACATTTATTAATTGGGGACATAATTTCGGGACATAATTTCGGTAAAGAGGACTTCTGCATCCCTTAAAGAGAAATGTCTGTTTTCTAAGGTAACTTGCAACCACGGCTTGTACCTGATTGCAGATAAATCTGAACTTTTGTGGCTCTTGAAGCTCCTGTCGATCTACTTATTAACAAAGTATATTAAACAGCCAATCGTTACCTCTTCACATTGCTTGATATATCTCAAGATCCTCGAAATTCTTAAAAGCTTTAGAAGGCTGAGAAGTTTAGCAAGGCGCAGGAACTTGAGAGCTCTGGAGGCGCCTTTAACAGCTATGCCATCACTGTCTCCAGTTGCTGAACTAAGAATGTAATCGAAGGGCAGCGAACTAATGAAGTCGAGCCAGAACCATGTTCGAAGGTACCTGCAAAATAAAACCGTAGTGGCCTAAATCCAAAGAAATATGACATCGGCAATTATCTTTTCATAACCTTTCGAAATCCTGAACAAACGGAAAATCACACGAAAAATTAAGCTTTGCCGAGAAAGCATTTTTGAAAAACATGAGTGTGAAGTTGAAAGGCAAAAGACAGAGAGAGGGGGAAAATCATTTCATAAAGAAACTACTCTTATCGCATTTCGATTTTCTTATAATGAATACATTCTTTCTGTATAATTTTCCCTATTTGGGCCAACCATTGAGATGAATCTGCGTACAGAAAACAATCAGGAAGTGATGAAACGAGGCAGAGGATGAATAAATTGAAGCATTGTATCAAATATAAACAAGAAAAAGACAGCACAGAAAATGCGGATGTAAACGTGCACATTTATTATTGAACAAACCAAACCTTTTCGCAATAAGTTTTGGTTTAAGAATGATATGGACTCCTGCCCCAGGTGCCATGTAGCCTGTCCTGAAGTTCAGGCAAATGTCAGCCATGAAACAAATATCTGAAACAACATTGAACATCACCATAACTGGGCTGAGGTCTTCGCGAAAGAACGTTATCGTCACTGGGAGAATAATCATGTTCGAGACGAGTAGAAGAAGCACGACCAAGTCCCAGAAGTTCCTGAAACAGAAAGACAGTTAAATTAGAATAATATTTTATATACTTCTCCTTTTGCAAAATATTGAAAACACATCAAAGAAAACTAATTTGAAATTCAAACTTACACAAGACACAAGATTGTATATATAGTACAATGATTACCCAATACAAAGTAATATAAACCAACAGTTTAAAACGAGAAATGAAAAATAACTGCGTAAATTTGGAAAGGTCAGCTGGAAGAAAGTTTTACAATTTGAAACAGCAACTTGGCTTAATCGAAGACAATGGTGTCAAAATTTTGTACAAGTCGTTACATATAGTCGACAGGCACTAAACGTCCATCAATTAGCGCTGCATGGTCTATCTTGACATACTAATTTCTGTCACTGCTGGATTCTTCAAGAACGAACCGTATAAAGTTGACGCAGGAAGATTGTGTTCCAAGTCCAAACGGCATTAATTTGGCCCATTTGTAAACTTTCAAACCAAATTAGAGTTGGATTGTTATTATAATGAGGCTAGTGGGTGAAGATCTTGAAGCTTTGCGGACATCAGATATTACTTTAGTTTTTCTTCTCAGTTTCAAGATGAGAAAATTCTGCCATAAGCCGGAATCAGAACAGACCCACTTCAGTAAAAACATTTGCTTCGGATAAACTACTCAAATGATTTGTAAAGGTGGGTGGGAGGGGGGGGGGGGTTAACACCCGCTATAAGTTTCGCTCTGGTCGAGTTGACACCAAGTAAAATAAAGATGTATTTAACATTGTGTTTTTATTAGCGTTTTAATTAGATGGATTCACAATTATGTTTCGATTAGCGTAAAGAACGGCCTAATTTTACCAAATTTGATCGCCGGTTTGTGATGTAAACTAAAAGATGGCAATCTAGTTGCAAGTTGCATTACTAAGCAAAGATATAGCCAGAATGTCACTAAATAAAACATACACAAAAAGTAAAAATCTTCTCCAGGAAAAAATAACCAGTTTCCCCTGTTTTCCTCGAGGATAAATTCAAAGATTAATATTTCGTAGAGCCATTGTTAATCATTCGGTTCTATGCTGTATGAATTATCAGAAAATTAGCAGGAGGCGCAGATGTTTATTCGAAAAAGCTTCAAAATTGCTTTTAAGCTCCGGATTTCAAAGCTCTCAGCATTTCAACGTCGCTTCAATTTCCGGAATGACCCAATTACTTTTGTGTAACCGCAACCAGCCGGTACACAATGCTGAAGAAGCTTAACGGAACTTTAGCATTTTGGACCCTGGCGAAAATGATCATTTTAAAACAGAAGATACGGTGGGAGTTCAGCAACTGGGGCATTAAGGTTTACAGGCTGGCGCGACAAATTGTACGATGAAGGAGCAGATTAGTACGAAGGAGCTGGCCTCTGCGAAGGAGCTTGCTACTTGGAAGGAGTTGACCTTTAAAATATTTTGGAACAAAGTTGAAACTCAGTATACGTTGCCCTACAAGTTCAGGCATCTCAAATTATGCATCTAAATGAAATAGATGTGATAAAATTGTAATATCATCCTTGAAAAATTTTCCCCTGTTTGCTATAGCAGCAAAACGCTTCGTTTAACTGCCTCTTCTTTGACGTAAGAAAGACGTTCAAAGCATAGCTTGCCTATATTTATCAAGGTTGCATATTTCATTGTTAAGAATGTATAATACTTCGGAGCCTGTTGACAAAGAAATGGCTACGCTTTAGCTGAATGCATTACAAATCTGAAAATGCTTTACCATCTACGCTGTGGGATAAATAATTAACGAATGATCGTCGAAAGAGCTCAAGATTGCTGGCTTTTTGAATTTATCTGATTGTGCCAAAACCTTTGCTAAATCTTTTGACCTAGGCTAGAATCTAGATATTACACATTACTCTACACCAGCCTTAATTCTCTTTGATTTCCTACAAGAAATCCTGCCGCATTGCACGATGGAGGTACATAATACAGCGTTCATTACCGATGCTGTTATCGAAGTCAAGTAGATACTGCTTTCAGCCCATGTGGCGGGACTGAAGAACGTGAAGTGACGTTAGAAATCAAGTCAACTCAGCGTGCTCCTAGATAATTCATAAAAAAGATGAATTATTCAACTGCCGAATCTTCAATTTTACAGTTATTATTAAATATTTGTAAAAGTTCAAAATAGTATAGTTGAATAACACGCCTCAGCGAGTAACACTTTGCCACTTCGCTGGATTGTTCAGATATTAAGACTTGGTGCAGTGAAAGGATTGTTTCATAAACACTTTAATAGACTCATTTTAGAGATCAAAAAGTGAAATAAATTTCATAAAAGCACTTAAGGTTAAGATTAATTTGATTTTAGGTTCAAAATTGTTTGATTCTTCATCTCAAGGCATAAAGGCATAAGTTAATCATAAACGAGTTTACAAAATTGGCTTTTCGTAATTTGGCTTGTAAATTTAAATCAAAGACAAGAGTAATCTGGAGTATTTCAGTCCGCTTTTTAACTTGCTCTGGAGTTGTGGCTACAACATGAATGTAGATAGGCCAATGAATCGTTCAGAGAGCTCGATTGACGTTAGAATCTGGGTGAGAAGATTCTTGACAAGATTTATTGCAGTAGAAAAGTGCGAGGACACTGATTCCCTAAAGTGTCCAAAAACGTTTGCAACACAGATTCAAAAGAAAGGCAACCAACAAAGCATAACATTTTCCTCAAGAATGGGAATTTCTATTGCCGTCTGCAAATTTTGCCAAAATTAAGACTCGAATCAACATTGAAAATATAATTTCAGCCTTCTAGAGGTACTGGTTATTCAATACTCGATGTAATAATCACAAAGAATTTCTAGATAGTACAAAAACCAAGATATAACTCGAATTTCAACTTGAATGTGAAATTCAGCAAGTGGGGGTTGGATTATGTCCGTATTGACATAGGGTTAAAAATTAGTTAAATGTTTAAAATTATCATAACTGATCGCATAAGCGCTGCTCAAGAATCTTAGGCCATGACAATATGAGAATTTCACGGAAAGGACTGTTGTTCCTTGGAGTTTGCAAACTAGTAAAGTGGGACCGATTCAAAAGCCAACGAACACGTGCTAAATTGTCAATTTCAGCACATCATCAACATAGGAAGATTTCGGTCACGTTCGTTGAGAGAAAGAGGGTTTTGTAAAGTAATTGTGGATTAGAGAAATTTTCAAGGTAAATTCTAGGGTCATCCATAGGTGTATGGGTCATTTACAGATTTAAAATTAAAGTGGGTTTCTGTGATGATTTCTGACAGACTGAAATACGGAAAATGAGTTTTTTGCCAACACGAGTGCTGGTTGAAGCAAGAGCTTGGCTTTAAGATGGAGAAAATCACCTTCTTTTATAACATGTTTTGATATTTGCTCATTTCTAAAGTGAATCGACCTAATCCATCAAAGCACAACAAAAGCTAGACTTGCTAGACTTGGCGAGCTTACCTGTGCCATTTCTCCCATTTATTTTGCGTAACCTTAGAAAGAAGAAGTTACTTAATACGAAGTTGTTATGTGCATAACTTGTTGATACAATTTGTTTTACAATTGGTGAGACGGATTGCACAACAGGGTTACAAGGGACCTTTTCACCGGTGTTAGAAATCGTCTTCAATGGTATTAAAATTATTATAACTAAGAGTCAATTTTTTTGTAGAACTCTGCATCTAATAATAACAATAATAAATAATAATAACGATAATAATAATAACAACAACAATAATAGTAATAATAATAAAAACAATAATATTAATAATAATAATGCTAATAATAATGATTATGATGGAAACATTTCATTTTCAATTCAACTTAAACTACAATTACAAATCTCACCATTACATTCAAATGTTTATTAAACGTGACAAGTTTCAAGGATTTTTGTAATGGCAAGCCCTTATAATGCAGGCTAAAAGTCGGCAGACAGTTGTTTATAAAAATTGAAATATTAAACCACTAACCTGAAGGCACTGTATGGATGTATCAAAAATCCAAACGCTTTCATTCTTTGCTTCTCCTTCGCAAGTCCCCTGTCACCCCCAAATATCTTTAAATTCACATTAGTTTCCGCTGGTTCGAACCATTTCTTTATTCTCTCGATTCTCGACAGTTCCTCTGCTGCCGAGTCTAGATCATTGTCGAGTGGGCCTTCTGGTGAAATGAAAAGTGAGTTGAACCCCGATCCACCGGTTTCAACCTCTGTTTCTCCTTCTTTCCTCACCGGAACAAGCAGACGCCCAATGGGAGTGATCTTTTCATCAAAGGTCGATTGGCGTGACGTTCTCTGAAAGGCGCCAGATATTGGCGACTCGTCAAGACTTCGTGCCTTGCCTGATTTCCGTTCATAACTTGCGCACCCCTCTGATCTCTCATTATTAGACTCAGAAACACTATTATTCAGCTCTGTTTCGCAGTTCATGTTACAATCATTTTCAGAGTCGCTTTCCAATACATTGATGACTATTTCGCTAACAGTTCGTCGACGTCTGTTACCCCTTGAATCCAAGAACCCTTCCTTGGCCGGCGACACTTTCTTCTGTGCACCATTACACTGGCTCTTCGACCTCGAGTTTCGTCGCAAACTAAATAGCCGATCCCATCTACTTTCAGCTTCCGATTTCTTTGGCTCGCTTTTTCTTACATCCATCCTGCCAAACTGTAGAAGCTGCCTTGACACTTTTCCAGCTTTTGACATTTTGTTGTCCATTATCTTATTGTACACTTGTATGACGCTAATTGAAACTAAGACCCTATTTAGTCTTTCAACTGACAACATTCGGTGACGATGTAAGACTTCTCCGTCGTTTAGTGTCCATAGAGAATGGCAGGGCCCGTTCAGCGAGCCGGTCCTTATTTCTAAGCTGATTAAAAACTCTCAAATCTCGTGCAAAGCACACGTTTTCTTCACCAACTTGCTTCCAACCGTCGACACAAATTTTCACAAATTAAGGCGATTTAAACCGAGCGAAATCTCTTTAAGCCAGCCTCTAGTATCAACTGACAAAGATACAGTTTAACAAGGCGTGTTGAGGCAACCAGTGATTCGCTCCTGGCCTCCATGAACTTAGGAACAATTCTTGTGGATGAACGGCTGAGCCATTTTGTGCAAGTCACAGGCACTTCTGTAAAACAAGAAAAAATATGATGAAGCTGAGTGAGATCAGGTGCAAAAAGAATCTCACTTAACCAGTATGAAGATTCTTTGTAATACAGAGCCCGCGTCCCACTCTCGTTAATTATTAATTTCTCAACTACGGCGTTGATTTTATCAACGAACCCGCACTAACTCTTCAGAGTTGCTATAAGCTCAGCCATAAATTAATCATTTTTTGGAATAATGTTCTGTGTGCTGTTTCAAAGAAGATTTTCACAGAGATTCAACCTTGCCTGTAGATTTAAGACGAATACTGAAAGCGAATGCTATCCAGGCTAAAATTGTCGCGATTGAAAGTATCGATAAAATCAAATACAGAATGTTACTGATGTTATTTCGAAGAACTTGGCCTCTAAATATCAGACAGAAAGCTTCGAAAAATCAGACAGAAAGCATATTTTTTAGGCCACTAGGCACTTGCGACAAAAAGAGCATATAACTAAGATAATGAAAAGTTAGAGAAATCTGACGTCATAACGTCTATTAATTGATTCAAAATTGAAAATTAAAATTATCAGACGAACAAATAAGCTTATACTGAAAACATAGAGTTTAATTTTCAACAAAATGGAAAACATAGAGATTATATAAGGATAATTCTTATTTCTGGACCTGCTGGACATAAAAATATTTTGTATAAACGAGTAGACATAAAGCCTGAAAAATGATCGGGGAAATCACAGCATTTGATATATTACAAATTCATTTAAATATTCTCTATTCTCTTCATATCCTCTCACAATCAATTTATCGCACCCATTGTGCTTTTTATTGTTAATATAATATTGAGTCGTGACTTTTTGAGTCCGTAGTTTAATGTTGTATGGACGGAGCTCCATGCTTGTTTTCAACCATTTGTCGGAAAGACGTTCTGACAGAGTCCTTAGGAAATGATCGATCATTTCATAGAAAGCAGCAGAACATGATGCCAAACAAATGAACAACCACAACAACATCAAATGTCTTTATGTTCATTTTCCAAATTTCGAAGGCCACGAGTAATGAGGAGAAAGATATAAAGGTTCCATGCCAAAAACCCATCTTGTTTCGTTTATTCATTGAGGAAGGTTCTCGAATAGACTGAAAGAGGTATGAGCTTTACCAGGACTCTGCAATTCACATTCTTGCCATAATTTTTCCATTAAATAGTTTCGATTAGGCCCTGGGTTTCAACTCAACCAGGTTTACGACGTTTTATTGCGGTAAAGGTGTGTGCGTATGCTGACTACAAAAATTACCAAACAAAAAGTTGCTTTTGAAACTCTTGAAGTTTTATACAAAATCACAAAAAGATTTGTCTTATCAAGCAAGGTGTCTAAAAATGTACATCATTCCAACAAAAACAATTCTTTTCAAATCCTTAGGTAAAATATAAGGCAAGAGGAATTGGAAGAAAATAGTGCTGTTTGAACTCTTACTTAGCATTGCAAACTAAACTCGAAGCTTTTCAGCCCTAAAATTCTGAGATTTTTTTTCAGTACCAAGCAAATGTTACCAGTAGACGTTCTATAGATTCAGCTCTACGGTTGCTTTGAAATCTACAGTAGGGTAAGTAAGCCGATCTTTTGCTGCTATAAATCGAGTCCATCTGGCTGGAGAATATTTTAGACAAGATCAGCATTGAAGGAGTGCTCATAAGACCGGCAAAGACAACGAAGATAGGATCGAATGGCTCGTGACCTTTGGTTGGGTAGCTAATGGGCTTAATATACTGTATGGATTAATAAAATACCTGTGCCTTTAGGTATTCAAGCTAAATTTTGCAATTTATATGCGATCCATTTGCTCTAATTCTTAACGTTTTATAATCATTTAAAATCTTATTTGGCTTACACTCGAAGATTCTTGTGCACAAGTCTAGCGAATGGATTTGCTGTTTAACTGTCTTCGCATACCACATAAAATCTGAGTTAAATGTTTAATGCAGAATAGTAAGAGATATTGCGATGATCATGAAAGTGCTTGGTTCTAATACAACGTACGCGGTGTTGGTTTTAAATGCAATCTCATCTCATTAAATCGACAATAGAGATGATGGTTAGGTTTGCAGTAGATTTTGAAGAACTTCCTAAAACCTCTGCAGTTCATAGAGCTACTCGAAGGGCTGAATATCATGGAAGATTTCAATTTTGGTCTAATACTAACTCACAACAACTAGTTTATAATTAACGAAAAAAGTAAGGAAGGGCGAGCGAGCAGAGAAGCAAATCTCAGTTTAAATAATCGTTCACTTATAAAAAACGATGACGTCAAGTTTTACAAAGAAAAATATTACCAATAATATATTTTGCAAAACTCAGTGGCACTGGATATAAAGGACATAGAGTATTAATATGAGCTATGCTCTAGAGGCCAGTCCTTGTATCTGTTGGTTTTAGCATCTGGCTACTAAACAAGAGTAAATTAACCAGATATACGATTTGCCATTTTGTGACAAGCAATGGTACGTGCATTCCTTCCAAACTTGACATTATTTCATCAGTCTTAATCACCTCCAGCCCTAACCTTTCATTCAAATAAAATCAAATCAATTTTAATTCGTAAACTACAGAAGAAGAATACTATATTAATCTCCAGCCATCCATTCCTAAACCCCACAGCTCCCTATCCTCCAATCCCCAACCCTATACCCCACCTCCACCCCAAACTCTCCACCCCAACCCTCCAGTCCTCAAACCTCCAACCCCCAACCACCAGAACACTCTAATCCCCAACCCTCCACTCCTAAACCCTACAGCTCCCTATCCTCCAATCCCCAACCCTATACCCCACCTCCACCCCAAACTCTCCACCCCAAACTCTCCACCCCAACTCCCCAATTTTCAACCCTCCACCCCAACACTCTAATCCCCAACCCTCTAACCTCTAACACTCCATCCCCAGCCTTCCACCCCAACCCTCCGATCCTCAAACCTCCAACCCCCCGAACACTCTAATCCCCAACCCTCTAACCCCTAACCCTCCACCCCCAGCCCTCCAACCTCCAACCTTTCCGATCCCAAACTCTACGCCCTAAACCCTACACCACTAATTCTCCAGCCCCAGTCCTCCAGCATTGTCCCCTCGTAGCTGCAAAATACATATCTCACAGCAGCCGCAAAGTGCTTTAGACGTTTTTGGACAAGGAAACTACAGTTTTGGAAACTTACCAAAAATGGTTTCAAAAATGAATTATTCATATTGATAAATACAAATATAATGAACGGATAAGCTGCAACACGCATAAAACAAGTCTTTTAACATTTTTACAATAAAGATTGGGGCCTTGTTGTGATCCAGATACGATATCGCCTTAATGGTATATATTAATGTATATCCAGGATCATTTGATAGCAGAACACCTCATCAGAATTAAAATTAAAAGGTTCTATCGAATAAACTCCGCGAATAGCTACCAGGTGCATTTTATGTGTGTTTCAAGGAATGGTTCAGGTGAATCATAAAATACTACTAAATATGAAAAATCAGTTAAAGGCATTACGAATTGGCCACACAAGCACAGGCTCTTGCCCCATCAAACCTCTGTAACTTGGTCTTGGTTGGTCTTGGTTCATAACTTTATGAACCAGGCCTAAATAACAGAAATCCGTTAGCAAACTTCAAATCTTTTATTGTCCATATCTCGCCCAGTTTTGAACATAGCTAACTGATTTTGCATATCGAGAGGTACTTTTTGCCGTTCTTTCGGATTATGTTGTCAAATTTAAGAAATTATAAGCAAAGATTTTTGATGACGTCATACTTTGGTACTCATTTTGAATTGGACACAACACAATTGCACGTGTGCATGGACGAAAGGCATATGCTATGCGATTTCTAACTAATATTCCAACTTCAAGACAATAATGTCTCAGGCGACAGGTGGTAACCTGGGACATTTTTTAAGCTACTTTTGAACAAAAATCAAGTTGCTAGGAAGACCAATTGCACCCTTAAAAAGCAGAGAGCCAAAACAATTGCCCAATTAAAAGCTAGCTTTAATCTGCTTTGTTCTGAAGTTTATAGTGCAAAACACTACTTCATTCTTTTCAAGAAATACAGATATTTGGTAATCCGCTACTCGAAAAAGCCTGGGCCCTAAATTCTCTTTCACGAAAGATACGAAATGACGATGCACTATTGTAAAAAGAGGACTAGAACGAATAAAGGCCAAATAGGCCAAAACTAAATGCACAAAACTACGTTGAACTTAGGCTAACAGAAATCTTTGTCTGCATTGTATACTACACACTTTCCTGACTACACTCTACTAAAACTGCAACCTTGAAGCTGGAACTAGGCCCTGATTCTCTAGAACGTAACAACAAAGAGAGTTAGTAGGTCTAAAGCGGACTCCGTGGCAAACAGGTAACAAAATTGGTGCAAATTAAGACAAAAGAAGAAAATGCAATATTCAAATGATTTAGTCTAAAAGTAGCCATGTCTTTGGTAGACTTCTTCTCCGCAAGTTAGTGATGGTTTCTTTGAGTGTATTGTTTGTGCTAAGCGGATAGCATCGAAGAAGCAGATAAAGGGCACCTAAATTACTTAATACCTGTAAACTACCCTGATCCTGCAAAATTAGAGTTCTATTATCACTTTCATTTTCACTATTGGATTACAACAATGCAAAATGGATGGTTTTAAATCAAATTGCGAAATCGCCATGTATTCTCCAACCGCAGGCTTTCAAGTGATACCAGGCAAAAGATTGTGCAATGATCACATCTCAAGAGAAACACACTTCCGGTTGCTACACAGATACATTTATTTGAAATAGAATGTACATGGGAACAACAAATTTTGCATTCAAAGAAAGCGCTTCATAACGGCATGCCTTATATTTGGCTAGGAAGAGTAGACTTGCATGGATTAATCTCTCGCGAGAACACAAAAGCTCTTAAGGGTGTTAATTCTTTAGTCCCATGTAAGGATGAGATTATTGAACATGATGTTTTTGATTTGATTTTTAAAATGGTAGGATTATTCAAAATGGTAGGATTATTCAAAATGGTAGGATTATTCAAAATGGTAGGATTATTCAAAATGGTAGGATTATTCAAAATGGTAGGATTATTCAAAATGGTAGGATTATTCAAAATGGTAGGATTATTCAAAATGGTAGGATTATTCAAAATGGTAGGATTATTCAAAATGGTAGGATTATTCAAAATGGTAGGATTATTCAAAATGGTAGGATTATTCAAAATGGTAGGATTATTCAAAATGATAGGACTATTCAAAATGATAGGATCATGTAGCAGTTTATCGTTCTTCTATGGCCAAACATGGACGAGACGGTCGCAACTGGCGGAAAAGCATGAAATGATTTTGATGCGTACCATCAATGTAGTGTAGATCTAGTGCTTCCTGACAATTGCTTGATGATCGCAATTGGCATGAAACTAAGAGTAGCAACTTACAACTGTTCTGTTCTATTCACCAAAAGCGTGTACAACTCTGCTAATACGGCACCGAGCAATTTACGACAGACCGGTAAACAGTAATTTTCATCAATTTTAGCGTCGTTTATATAACCATTGTTTCTTGATTTGCCCCTTGTTCTTATAAAAATTGCATGTAAGGTTAGGGCAAATATTCCATTGATTAGGACTAAAGTAGCGTTTTACATGGCATTGTAATAATAGGAACCCAGAAGTTTGCCATGACAGTAAACTGTAAGCATTTTCCACAGTGGTAAAATCAGCGATGAAGGGGAAATAACAGTGATAATTAAATACAGGATTTTTAAACACGGTAATATCAGTAATATTATGGCATGTACTACAATATTATAAAAAATTCAACGGAAATTTCCCGTGGTAATATCACTATACACATTTTCACTGTAGTACCACCAGTGATAAATTTGAAACAACTATGCTAATTTAATGTATGGTAATTAGGTTGATAATATCAGTAATATCGCGGTACCATGGAAATATCACAGTAAACCTTTCTTACCGTGGTAACACTACAGTAAAAAATGCGATCTTATAATGATCATTTAATGTAGGCCTTATTTAACGTGGAAATATCAGGAACATTACGTAAACATACCATGGTAAAATCACTGTATCATATTTTACCGTAGTTACACCAGTGATGAAGGTTAACTTACTAAGGTAATTACTGTAAAATCACGCACATTGGTAATGCGAGTCAGAACTTACCATGGTAATCTAGGTGAATCAAACACGGTACTATCAGCAATATCATGGAAAGCAATGATGGCATTAGCTTTTCAGCATGGTGAATATGTAGTGAGTTGATTTTGCTTTGGTTATTTCGTGTAAAAAGGCTTATTAATCATGGTAACATCATAGTAATGAAAACTCACCGTTAATATTGTCAATCAGGCTTGTATATCAAACACTTTCAGCATTTGGTTCAGTTCTTGTTAGCCCAGGTTCTTCACTCATCTCAACTTTGTTTGGTTTCTGGAAGAGCCTCACGACGTATACCCACTGGAAGCGCTCCAAAACATGGTTATAGCGTTTTTTCAAGACAAAATACGCCAGAAGGCCAATTATCATCAAACCAATTGAGATCTTAATGGTAGAAAACGATCATAAGTATAGCAAAGCAATTTACAGAAGCTGTATCAGATATAATGAACATATAATGTACAAGATTACAAATTATATCAGATAAATTATAGCGGAGAGAATGACAAAAAATTTATTGGTAGAAATTAATAACAAATTTGATAATTATATTTGATTGGCTCTGTCCATAACGTTACAAACAGTGACCGAATTACCGAGGTTTGAGAAAGAAAAGGCATGTGCTTTTGTGGCCATATCTCAGCCAATTCGCATCTTGTTTAACTGGTTTTAGACATTTGCAGGTATTTAATGAAGCTCTTTCAGGTTATTGGACCAAAATAAAAAAATCGGCCCCTTTTCTAACTGTGCTTTTAACAAAAATGACAAGTTACAGAAATTTAGAGCGCAAAACATTTTCGATCAATTTTTAGCAGAGGTCGTTAAACTAGCCTTCATTGTCCCTTGATTGTCCTTTGCAATAACGTATATTTCATTCACAAGATGATACACAAAACAGGAATACGATAAAGCTAGGTAATATCATAAAACAACACGTCAATAATGTAATAATTTAAAGCTAATACAAACGAATATCAATCTCAATAAATCTACCGTTCGTGCATCTTATTACAAAGAAATAAATCAGAATAAATAAAAATCCTTTGAAACTTAATACTTGAAATAGCAGATGAAAAATAAAAAACATCATTAGTAAACGACAAAAACTTGATACCAACCAACACAATTATCAAGGATGGATTGATAGAGCCAGGAGCAAGACCTTCAATTTTGATTGCAAAGTGAAACGTGAAATCGCAGTTCGAATTATCAACGTTCCTGAAAACATAAATATAATATGCTACAAAAATGCATAGTTAACGTGAACTTTGTAAATTTGACAGATAGTTCACATATTTATCAACGAATGATAACGAATTGAAACTCAACAGAAATGTAAAAATAAACCTCTTGATTTCCACTGAGGTTATTAGTTCAAAGAACTTTTAACTACACTTTAGTTGATAAAAAACGCGTTTACTTAAATAGATGCTAAACAAAAACGGTGTAGAAAAAATACAACTTGTAAAGTACAAAAATATTTACATGCGAACATTTACAGAAAAATGAACTCTAAAACACAAAAACGTTTGGAAAACTTAAAAGAACACAATACTCGAACATTCAAAACTAGGAACTAAAAGGAATATCTAATATACCTTGATAAACTTGGTATTTTCTTTATTATTGTTTGCCAAACGAGACAAAGTAAAGGAAATTTCCCGTGTACACCGAACAACTTGCAACTAATTTAGTCTTTGTACTGTCCAGCGTTCTGCAGGATTATGCAGTTTGTATTTGAATGACAAAAGAGACTACTAAATAGAAATGGAGGCATGATGGAATTAAAGCAGTTGACGGGCCCTTTTCACCACCTGCCCCGATAGCAAAGAGTTTTTAGTGATTTTGGCCTATACTGAGTACACTTAACTATATATGTTTAAAAATCTCTGGGTTAAATGATCTGACAGTACCATCTATATAAACTTGATAAAATCTTTTATGTGTGCTTAAAGATTTTAAACTTTATAAATGATATGAAATAAATAAAGTTTTTCATAGGTGCACCAAGATTTTAAACTTCATGAATGATTTTGAACTTTATAAATTACATGGAATAAATAAAGTTGAACATGGAAAGACAAAATAGTTCGATTTTAAAAAGATAGGAGCTAAATAAAACTTAACATGAGTGCACCAATATTTTAAACTTTACATACTATGGACTAGATAAAGTGTAACACGAGTCAACAAATGTTTAAAACATTGTAAGCATTGCGACTCAGGTTACACCGTGTTCTTTGCGTATTAATTCATTGTTTATTTCAAGTTATTTCTTATTTTACAAAACGATCTAGTGACAAACGTGCTACTGTCAATGGAACTTTAAATCTTGTACTAAAATAATTTGTTTTAATTTTTTGAAAAGTTGTTTTAGAAAAACCTTTTTACATTATAGAAGAGAAAAAAATAGTGCAAGATGACAAGATCAAAATAATTTTCAACGCACTGATTTGCATACTGATATTTCGTATAATATAGCTTTGAAATAAATTTTCTTTTTCGAGCGTAGCCCGTTATCACATTTTTTCTAAACTTGCTTATTTTCCTCGTTCAATTTCAAGGTATTTTAAAGTTATATTGTCACATTATATTGTGCGACACGCAAGCTAGTATATTTTAGAATCTTTATTAATACTCATACTTTATATCCACTTCAACGTAAGATTCGTTTTAGTCCATCGAACAGCCCTATTACCAAACACATTTCATTCTTGGCACAAGTTAATTGCATTCAGTTATATGGTTATTACGAGTTTTTCCACAATATAGTTGTGGCTCTTCATTTCTTTTACATTTTTTATTGCAACTAAATTATCTAAAATTACTATAAATGGTTTATTAGAAGAATTGGCTTAAAAATCATAATACTGTTCGTAAATTGTTAAAAACAATTTAAAACTGTCGATTTTCTTTTATTTTTTCAAATAGATGATTTCGCAAGGCTGAACAGAATGTGGAAAGATTTCCAGCGTTTCTTAACATAAATAGTCCTTTCTTGAGACATGAGACATGCTGTTTATTAATATATTACATCATTTGCATATCTCTAGTGCAAGGAAACATTTCGTAATTGCAGGAAATAGCAATTTCTAAAGCATTGGCGAATCCGGACAGTCTCCAGACGATGAAACAGCAAATGTATGTCTCAGAAATCAAGGTATTCAATGTACTACTAGGCGATTTTTTCGATGTCTCGGTGGGAAGGAGTCAGGAACACACTTGTTACAAAGAACCGAATATCAATCATTGATGAGAAAAAAACTGATTTTAAAATCTTGGAGACAAATTCTAAAACACAATTTCTATGCTAAGAAAAATTCAATTCCCTTGAGCTAAAATCAGGCTTGTGAATTCAGAACTTATTCAATTATCCGGCCTTCTCAAGACACAGGTATCAACATGCGCGGGGATAATCCAAAATTCCGGATAATTGAAATTTGAAGATATGTCTGATCTTCCTGGGAGTCGTGTTTTAATTCGGGTTTCCTGAGCTCTTCAAATGAGCTTTTAATTCATAAACTAATACATTAAATTCCTTTAAAAAAGGATTGAATCTTTAAAAATGGCTTTGAAAATAGCAAACATTTTACAATATATTTAGCCAATATGTTGTTAAATGTTTGCTTTTTTCAAAGCCATTTCTAAGTTCTGTACCGCCAAAAAAGAGTGAATCTTTGGTTGAATGCGCGATGCCTCACGTTTCCCGGTGGCCATTCCCCGTGTCGAAAATTTTTTCATAGAGTTTTTTCCCTTTCTTACGGTCCGTTGTATGGAGGCGTCTGTTGTAGGGAGATGTCCGTTGTATGGAGGTGTCTGTTGTAGGGAGATGTCCGTTGTATTCAGGTTTCAGTTGTGTGGAGGCGTCTGTTGTAGGGAGATGTCCGTTGTATGGAGGTGTCCGTTGTATGGAGGTGTCCGTTGTATTTAGGTTTCCGTTGTATGGAGGTGTCCGTTGTATTTAGGTTTCCGTTGTATGGAGGCGTCTGTTGTAGGGAGATGTCCGTTGTATGGAGGTGTCTGTTGTAGGGAGATGTCCGTTGTATTCAGGTTTCAGTTGTGTGGAGGCGTCTGTTGTAGGGAGATGTCCGTTGTATGGAGGTGTCCGTTGTATGGAGGTGTCCGTTGTATTTAGGTTTCCGTTGTATGGAGGTGTCCGTTGTATGGAGGTGTCCGTTGTATGGAGGTGTCCGTTTCATGGAGATGTCCGGTGTATTTAGGTTTCAGTTGTATGGAGGTGTCCGTTGTATGGAGGTGTCCGTTGTATGGAGGTCTCCATTGTAGGAAGATGTCAGCTGAAGCTTTTCAAAAGCTTGTTAAAAGTAAGTGTTGCCAGAAGTTTTTGCATTGGTTTATGAGTATAGAATGACCCCTTTAACAATTTATCAGCATTTATCGAATTTATTTTGATGAAATTTCTGCTTAGGCCCTTCATGGGCGAGAAGGCTGACTTCATTGAGCTTAAAAAGCACCGCATGGTGACTTTATTGAAATTGCTTTTTCAACATTGTCTGACGGGTTTCCTCAAACTCACATTCTGTAAATCTACTGCACGTATGCTAGCCTTGCAAATTTTCCAAGTCTACATACATATATCAATTATCTTAGTCTACGAAAAAATATAGAAATGTACCTGTTTGAAAACTCTACGATAAAGTAGAAGACGGGGGGATGCGGGAAGACAGGCGCGATTCCCGAGCAAGGACTGTTGCTACTGCAGAGCCACCTAGAATGGAGGGAAATAACCATCATGACTAGTTTATTCGATTTTCTTCATTTTTAACTAATTCGAAAGAAATTATTATATTATTGCAAACATAAATAGTTATACATTTCTGATGGGCCTATTTCAATATACAACTATTCATTTTTCCTAGCTTAAATTTTTCAGCCATTATTCTGGAGATCTACTTGTTTGACCCGTTATAATGTCCAAAAATGTTTGCTTTTCAAAACAATTTGCAAGGGAATACTAAAAATGATATTTTCATAAATACGTTTATTTGAAAATTTGATGTCCAGGATTCCGACCGAAATAGCTAGAACGTCATTTATTTCTAGTACCATCATTTTGGAGTTTTTCGAAAACTATCCAAAAATGAAAAGCAAAATTTGATGTATCACTTCAAAGAGGATGTCAGCTTGGTTTTATTCCTTGGGCTCAGGAACTCTGTCCTGCATCATTGTGTCACTGTTGCTATTTTGAACCAACGACATGCTTCTCTATTGTGTGAAAATATGTGACACTGTGAAAGGGTGACAGGGCTATAAAATACTAAATATGATATTTGGAATTCTCAAAAACTTATAATAAATTTTCTAAATAATCGTTTTACCTACAAGGTTGTAAACATAGTTTTGACGAAGTTTCTAACTGTTCCAAAAACTAGTTGCAAATAAAGAGAAATCTTAAAATCAAGCAGTATTTCCTACATTTGCGGTGGCAAAAAGGTCTCAAAGCTGAAGAGAATTGTGAAAGAACCAAAACCCCCAAATTACAGAAAGTTTCAAAAATAAATCTTTAAGTTTAACTTTGCAAGGTACTGGCAGCACTTTTTGCTGCCTTGCGGTGTTCGAATAAACCTCAGAGGTGTCCCTTGTGAAGTCACCTACGTGATGTGGGTAACGTGATGAGGCATTTAGTTGTGCACGCACTTCTATGAACTGCTATAAGGCACTACTTGCATAAACACGAGTAATTAAACGATGAAGCGCATGCTTTAATAGGAGAACTACAAGTAGCAAATTGCTGTATTGCTCAGATATTTCGTTCTTCAAAATTATGTTGAGAATGTGGGGATTAATACCTAAAGCTCCACAACTGGGTATATATTTTTCATCGTGTTCTTTCGGACCTTTTTCTGACGTTCTATGCTCTGAGGAGTGTCAGATGAAAAAGCTTTTAGCCAATATGATATAAAATGCTTGCTTTCTTCAAAACCATTTAAAATCATACAGGTAACAAACAACCCTATTGCAACTGTTCACGATAGCTTTCTTACTCGATGTGTTTATGTCACAACGAATACCAAGGATGAATATTCATTATCAGGCACTGCTGTTCCTAATGTCAGCGATAGCTATTGTATATATCCAAGAGGTGTATAGATGCGCTGCCAGCGGATCATAAAGATTTCAAGGATTCAGGAATCAGGATTTCGGATGATACGATTTGCTCTGACAAAATACGAATCATCTGTCAAGCTAAGCTAATCTGCAAGGTAATCTGGTAAAACATCGATCCTGTTGTGGAAGCGAGAACATACAGAGCCCCTTTTATTTGGACAGCATTTATAAAACCGCTATACATGTGGGCGTGGCCAAGAATTGTGCAAATGTATTTCCAAGATGAGGATGTCGTTTAACACAAGCCAAGGAAAATCTTTCGCAAAATGTTGCCAAAAAAGCAAGACTTGCTTATTATTTAAGTAGAATAATACCATAAAAGAGTTCCCAACGCGATGTATATTAGGCGAGAAACAGTTGTATCAAAGTAAATTTGGAATTACGTCATCAAAGATTGATGAATCGCTCTAAAGAAAATGGTACAAGTGGCCAGTTACCTGCGAGCCTACACAAAAACGTCAGCACTGCCTACCATAACAGATATGAACATGGGTTAACAATTGCTAAGAGTTTCTAAGAAGATAAAACTGCATAGCTACTGCGAAAATACTACATAACTACCTAAGTGAGCTGCTTTGCTTTGTGAATACAGGCTTTCCGTCGTATTCCTGGTGAGGTGCCCAGATTAAAGACGATCTTGAAACAAGAAAGTTTCATCTTATGAAAATCATAAAACATTACGTCTTATGCTTGTATATACAGCAAAAATGTTTTATCTAATACTAATTAGACACTTGCTTATACGCTAGGGTATCATGAAGGTTCAATCGCGTCTTTATGCCGGTGCAGAAATAGTTCTTAGTTACAAAGATCTATGGAAAATTGTGGTGAACAGGGCTGCATGGAGACAAAGTGTCTCTTAAAGTGTCACAAAGAGGTGCTCTTGATTTGACGGCATCTACCAACAACAACAACAACAACAACAACAAGAATAGCAACAACAACAGCAGCAGCAGCAGACACACCATAGTAACAATAACATAATTCACAGCAAAACAACAACAATAAGAGCACCAGCATCAGCAGGGGTAGCAAACATTACAGCAGCAACACAACAGCAACGAAAACTTGACTCGCAACAGAAAAACAGCGACAAAAAACACCAGTAGACAAAGAACAACAGCAGCAACAACAACGGCAGTAGCACCAATAGCAGCATTAGCGACAGAACTAAAATGTTCCTCAAAACTCCAAGATGGCAAGAAAATAGCCACTTTATGTTCTCATTCATGGAAGAACTTTAACTAGCCTCCAACTTATTATCCCACTTCAAGGAGAAAGGCCAGACTTTAAAGACAGTGAGGTTTTTCAGTGTTCAAAAGCTTTTGTATTAGAGAAAAGAAATAAGAAAGTAAGTGAAGCCAAAAAACACTAATAATTGAGTTTGAATACAATAAAGCAGGCTACAGCTAAATTAAACTTTAGGTACCAACCCTGCTTCATAGTTGAACAGCTTTTTCTCTTCTTCGCTAAAATAACGAACGTTGTCTAAGGTTGTGCCGCCAGCCACGATAACTAAAGTGTAGTTACCAGAAAACTCTTCTGTCTTTAGCGTAGCCTCGTCAACGTGGCGGAAAATAGGTGAAAATTCTAAATGATAAAAAAGGACAGAGAGATTGAACGACAGATGAGGCTTTCATTTTTGTCTCCAGAACATTTAGAAATATTTGATGATGTGGGAAATTATTAAACGCATCAGAAATGATATCAAAGAAAGATCTGTATTGACATAGTATTTTGTAACACCATAAAAGGATTCGAAAAATATGTGACAAATTGCTAATGTAACAACCAGCTAAAGTTAATTTTGCTTGGTAAGAGATCAGTCCCATTCAAATTCACTTACTCTTCCTGTGAGAAACGCATCTTGGGAAATGCATTTACTTTGTGTACCAGAGCCTTGAAATATATATCAGAGAAACAAGTAAGGAACAGGAACGAGGAGGAAGGAAAAGTGGAAACACACTCTCTTCTCCTCCCACTTTTTGCACCTTACTTTTTCAATTTTGTATAGCTTTAGGCTCTTGTACACAGGGTACAAGCTTTTTGTACGCGTTCTTGGAAGTGGAAAAAATTCACAAATTCTTGGAAGAGGAAGAATATCAGCCGCCATTCTGCAAAGCCACCGACGAGATAGCCAAGTAAAAAGGCTGGTCAGAAGATTCTTATGTTTTACATTAAAACTGCTGATGTTATACACATCAATAATGGTTTTTCTAATCGATGCTGTTTTTCTTAATGTCTTTGGCCATCTGATGCATTTGACAGCAACTTAATACTGTGTGCTGGTGAAAACTCCATGTTTATGTTGTTGTCTTGGGAAAAGTGGCTCGACAATGGGTTGCTATAAACGAAGAACTTAACGTGTTTTTGTCCGCCGCTGCCAACGCTCATATAGGCAAACAGAATTATCGACTTGAAGAAATCCTTGTTTTTGGCATAAACAGGACTTTTCAAGTCTGTAAAATAATAAAAAGGAAAATGTGCTTGTCCTTGCCGATATTTTTACAATATTCAGATATAGTAAATTAAATCATTGCGAGGGATAAATATTGGAACAGTCCTTATACAAAATTTTATTCACCAAGGAAGGCAATCTTTCGATTCAATAGCTGGTTTTAATAATTGCTGTAACACCATAAGACTGAAAAATTTGAACTGCTAGTCAGTAACGTTGTGATTCTGTCCCCGATAGAAATAACTTTGCCACCACGATAACCATAGCTTCATAAATGCAAACAGTTTATAAACGGGTTTTTGAGTTGCTTTAGTAAGATAGATCCATATTTTTATCGATAAGTGTCAGGTGTAAGTTATGGCTTGTTTGTATCACAAAAAACTAAAATGTATATAATTACTTTTCTATCATCGAGAAACATCTTGTTGGCAAGAATTCGAAGAAGGATCTCTTTGCTTGACGCTTTGGTATTACTCTGTGCCTTGTATGGAAATCATATTTACTGCTCATCAGGTGCGAGTATGAAAATCAATAAAAATTAAATCTACATGGTCTTCTACCATGGTCTACGTTCTTCTGTTCACGGGCAAGAGACACGTGAATCAAGTACACTGCCCTCTAGGTTTGCAAAGAACGAAACTCATGGTGAACTGTGAACTGAGAACAAAGAAAAGTTGCCGCGTAATGTACCACTGCATAACCGAATAGCCCACTGGGAAGTGTAATTCGGGCAGGGAGGGATCACCCGAGCCTTTCCTCCAGCAATTTCTACAAGGTTTACCAAACCCATAAATGAAACAATAGCCCTTCGAAACAAGAGTGACAACACCTCATCAGTCAGCTTTTTTACAACTACAATTTGGCATACCTCCTACATTTTCCTCACAAAACAACTGTTTGTATACTGGACTTTCACCTACAAGCCTCTCACAAGGCAACTGCGACTGCACCTAAATCCTATATACGTTGATAAGGTAGTTACTTGGTAACTGCGACTGCACCCACCTCCTATATGTATTGCCTGTAACTTCATCTACGACCTAAAAATGCGCCACAATGCAGCTATTTCATAACTGCGACTTAACTTTTCTTCTTCATATCCCTCACAAGGCGCAGCCAATTACGTTTGTAGGCCCCCACATTCAATCTAAGTAGCAAAGTTTTGTTCTACAAAGAGAATCTGTTCCTTCCTTTCCCCTGCTGGAAAGTTATTTAGTTGTACCAGTAATGGTCCAACTTTGTCTATAATGTTCCAAATCTTTCGCAAGACATCGAATATTCGGGTAGCTCTTAAAAAAGGGCTTAATTCTGGGGCGGGATAGAAGCACATCTAGTTCTTTATATACTGGCGTTTCTTTCTCGCTGCACGATGACGTTTCCCTTGTACATCTATCAATTATTCTCTCTATCTCTTTACTTTACCAGTATTCTTTATTTTTCCTTTAACTGTACCAATCTTCTTCTAAAAGCATCAATGCCAGGCTCTTTTCATCTTTCCGCGCGGACGTTTTTCAACAAAAGCAAACAAACAGCGACATAAAACTGGCGCGATTTTCCGACATGCCTTCTGTATTTCTCCCAGATTCACGGTCCTATTTTCCTGTTTTTGTGATTCTGCTTAAAAAGTAGCCCGGTAATGCCCAGCTAAACTTTAAATTATTTTACAAAGTTTTTTAAAAAAAAATTTGATAAGCCGCATGCAACTGTGAGTTGAACAAATTTTCTCACAAAACTTTCGTTCAATGGAAATCCAAAAACAAAACAAAGCATTTCTGTCGATTGACCCAATTCCTGGCTTCCTCCTTCTTGCTTCTTCGTAGTATAATTAAAAATCTTTGGCATACTAGATGAAGGGGAAGATTAGGGCGAAACATTGGAGCGAAGTGCGCTGCAATATACGCATGACCCAGTGTACAAAAGCGACTCATGATAAGCATGCAGTTTTAATATAATAGATGCTGTTATGGGAAGAAATTCTGCAAAGGTAAATTATGAGTTCAAAGAAAAATGATAAAATTATTGTGGCTTGATTTTAAAAATCATTAGAAAATAAATATCAAGCAAATAAATATTATCAACGCTTTTTGTAAATGAACAGTCAGTCGTTCATTCCTGTTAGAAAAAGCATTATTTTTAACTTTCTGTCTGTCTTCATTTAGATCGTAAAGTAGTGCGCCCAAAAGAAATGGCAGGTGTCAGTACAGACATACCATACTGTCATATAAATATATATATATATATATTTATATGTGCATATAAAAACATAATTAAAATTACTGTTCACTGGTCTGTCATAATGTACTGATACCGTATAGGCAGAGCTGTACACACTATTTGGTGTATAGAACAGGACGGTGCCAAGTTGCAACTCCGATTTTTACGCTTTATCCGGCCATCAGGCAACTGTATAAACTCACATAAGAATATGTGTCGTAATTTGAAATTCGAGTCATTGATATTTTTAACTGGGTTTATATATATTTGATTTTTAGGTGGTTATTATGAGTTCGAAAATCTATCTATGTTTGGATGTATATGATGCCAAATGAAGGACATCTTCGATCCGTGCAGAACATCTTCCTGCCAGCGTTATTCCTTTGAGGCAACACAATTTTGCACAAGATCGAGCTCGTCAATTTATTGGGCATGTGGCCAACAGAACACCTTGAATTTGTAGCTCAGCATTAAATCTTCTTCTTAATCTACATGTTACCTATAAGTTGGGTTGGATGCACAAGACGGAGGTCGTGTTAATGAACCATACATATTATGGTTCAACTGTTATGTATGCTGCAGTTGCTTGAGTTCTGTTGTAGACACTTTTATTGGCCTGAAGCACTTGTTGGCAAGTCAGCACAGAAAACAGCTCGATTCAATTTTATAATCACGCCAATGATAATCTGCCAGCCTCTCGAAGGTGTCACCTACATGTGCTTACCGTTTTAAGGGCGTGGTAACAAAAATATATAAAAGGAATGTTACAGGAAAGAAAAATCAAAGAATCGAATACATCAAAACCCAGTAATTTTTTCAATCTCCGTAACTCTTAAAGGCTCTTGGGTAACAGGCATGCTTTGCGGTAGTTGTATTTTCACACGAAGATATTTGGTCTGTATTTTGTATTTTCATGCAATGAGATATTAGGCCAGTTTGGAAACACTATTCGCAAAGCGTGCCGGTTGCAGAAAAACCTTTGATCAAGCCAACTCAGAAACAACTGCTTTGCGATTTTCAATCTCATTGTACCCTAAATAGTAAATCTAACCAAAATAACTAGCCTCCATAGATTTTTTCAACAATAACTAAACAAGAAACGAGTTTTATCTTCCTATCATTTCTCTGATCACCTTTTTTACTGGCGGTAAATACACGCAACGTCTATCAGATAATACAAGAGAATTGATTGAAATAAATAAGGCCCGTCAAAATCTGAGTGGTGATTCACCATCGTACAACACGCTTTAAATCCCTGCTCTAAATGCGCACATAATGCTCTAAGGCCCGGTCGCACACAAATCAAAATGCTAGGAATTCGATTAAACAACGAGAGGCTGATTTATGTGCGAATCGTATTTTGTTAGCTGTGATTAGAAGAATGGAATCTGTAAGGGGCTCAACAAAGTATTTAAAAATCGGATTGATAGAATAAAGAAAATCTAGACTAGAAGCCCGATCTTGACTAATTTTGACCCAATCACCTGGCGCCCCATAGCTGAGCTATATTTTAATCATCTGCTCCCCTCCTTCCTCTGATCTTAACTGAAGATTCGATCGATACCATTTTAAAATCTAACAAACATGAAAGACACACAGGTTTAATCCGAGTAGCCTACAGTGCCTTCCTTTTTCTATGACGTCAAAGCAAATGAAAATCTCTATGGTGTAAAAAGAGGAAACCCCATATCTCTGTCATTGCCAGGGTTGTTGACTTCAAATTTTCCCAGAAGAAAATGTGAAACAGAATAATTAACAAGAGAAGTAGGTGGTCAATTCAAGTCTGCAATCTACAAGTTATTTTGAAGCGATCCAGTAAAGAATTAAGAGCAGAAGTAATGTCAAACAAATAGTGATTAGAGGATTCTGTACAAAAGAAATACAGACAATGATAAGGCTTAGGCTTAGTTAAGTCGTGTGTTCCAAAATCGTAAATATCCATGATTCTTGAAAGAATCGTGATATCAACAAAGTTCAGAAAGCAACACAGCTTTTCTCCGGATGGAAATTTTCAAAATTTTTCAAAATCTTCCTTGTATCATTTGAATAAAAGTCTCTTACAAGTTAAATTTAAGTAAAACCATCTAGCGTTTGGTTATATTGCTTTGTGAGGAATAAAGAACAGTTCAGGAACAGCGGTAAATTCTATTGTGAACACTCTTGTGAAGAAATGCATTTGCCCTCTTCACAATTATTCTATCCTCGGGTAACCTTAATCCGGCACACAGCCATGGAACTATAATGTTTTCTGGGCTCTAGAAAGTGACATGGCAGTTGTGGATAGCTCCCTCACGCTTCAGGGAAGGTTATACACTGAGGCTTTGACAGGGCTGGCCTGGGCTGGCACACAGAGCTTCCGGTCCCCTCCCAATCTTACCCCATGCGTTCATCTTTTGAAATTTCTATAAACTCTTTATTTTCAACAAACATAGCTTTTATCGAGGTCAACCAATTTACTTTTGTCCATGTCACTTATCTCGAAACTGAAATCTCCCAGTTGAATTCTTCTTCTTGGGTCAATTTGCTTCCAAAATTTGACCTAACATAGTCCTTAAATCCCCGAATTCCAATAGCAAGATCTTATCAGTCATGAAAATCCCAGCTGATCAGGGAAGATCGGAGACGTGTCAGAAAATAGAAATGCTTTTATTGATAACGTAAAATTTTTTGTTTTGACAATTCATTCAACTGTAACAGCTTTAAAACATAATTTCAGACTATTGCCTCGTGTACATGAGGCATCTTGATGAATTACTTTAAGGGATAAGAAGTTGAACGCATAAATAAAAACCAAACGGTCCTTTTCGCCAGCTTTGGCAGAACCAACTTTTTGCCTTTAAATACATATGATATTATTTTTGGTTTGCAATGAAGATTCTTTCGACCATAAATATTAATTGATGAAACCTACCTCGTTCAAAATGGAAGCATGGAACCGTTGGCGAATCGTCGTCGCAGTAATTCGCCTTTCCTTTGCTTTTTGAAAGCTGAGGGTCGAAGACTACTTTTTGTCCAGCTGGACAGCCAAGCAGAATTTTTGGTGCAAAATAACCCTAGATGCATGAAAGAATCAGCAATTATTTCTACAAAGGTTTCCAGGTCTCCACTAACGATTATATTTACAAACATTTGGATTCATCAAGAGTACATGTAAACATTAGGAATAAAAGAGAATCATAATTAAATGTACAGTGAATGGAATAGATAGCCTAAGAAATAGTTTGCCTCGTGTATTTGGCTACCCGACCAGAAATTATATGCAAAAAAGCAAATGGATATATAGACAACAGATGTCAATAACAAAAGTTCTCAGCTGAAAATTTTGGATTCTAACAAAACCAGCCTGTTCAAACTCACTTAACAAACAATGACGGTGATTATCCATAGAAAGTTGAAATTTACTCTGGATATTTTAAATAATGCAACATTTGTACCAACATGGACTAAACCAAAATATCATGAATTGCTCAACAATCAACATGAGAGGTGGATGGTTTTTATTTCTAAAGTTAGAATTGGAACATGTATTTTATGCTGAAATGAAAATCACTAATTAATTCTGTCTGTTTTTATGAAAAATAAATCGCTGAGACAAAAGACTTCGAAAAATCTCAACTTAAACTTTAAAATATTCATACTTGCGTTTTGTTTGGTTTCGACAGCTTTACGCACCGCTCATCCGACTAAAAACTCACAAAGTTTGGAGAAAACTGCAAAGCTATAGTCTTTACACAGATTTGATGCGCAAAACACACACTGGCACGGCTTGCAACAACAATGTACAGATCTGATATTATGCAAAAATCCAAAATCACCTGCAGTATATGCTCAAAGTGGGCTGCCTGGCCAAAAAACGTTCCTTTTTGTAGGAAGCACTTCCTTATACCGTGAAAATATGCTCTTTAAATAATATTTTGGGGATCATTGACATTTAAAAAAATTTTTTCATATATCAAAGCAAGGTTAGCAAAACTTTTTTCATCATGTATTCACGATAACCCTTTTCTCTCGCCTAAAATACAGCAGATAATTGATGCAGCAACTTGGCAACTGATTTTCACTCTAATCTGTCAGGGTGGGCGTTTATTTTGGGAGGGAGTTTATACGAGTGCTGGGCGCTTATAAATTTTTTTTAGAAAACTTCAATCCTAGAAAGTCCTGGATGTTTTCAACCTTCAATACGGTATATCACTTTTAAGCAATTTCTTTCCTTCTTTTCATTTTTCGTCTAGGCATCCCCAATTAATCCAATAGTCAGGGGCGGACACTTGGTCAAATATTGGGGGGGGGGAGCCTATTGTTTTGATAAAATGACGTCACATTTCCCATTGTTTTGGAACACAAGACCATTGTCCTCTAAAGTATTGGGGGGGATGGCCCCCTCGCCCCTCCCCAAGTGTCCGCCACTGCCCATAGCCGAATCAAAGGTGCAAGCTTTCCACTATTGTTGACTTTTGTCTTATTTGTGTGCCCATGCGTACGTGTTGACGATGGTCCCAAGAGAAACGACTGAAATAGAATTGGCTCTTTACCTTTTGCTCATGGGATTTCTGGATCCCTTGAGGTAATAAGAAACCATGTTAATGCATGCTTGAATTCCAAAAAAAGGGACTCATTAATCCATGACTTGCTAGCCCATAAGAGCCAATGTAAGTAAATCCTCGAAACCTTTGGTATTTTTCACTGCAGGGCTGTGATGCTATAGGTCTTGCGAAATATTGAAGAAAAAACGATATCAAAATGGCTACTTGTGGGCATTAACAGGCGCTAACCCTCTCTTGTTCTAAATCTCTGCTTCTGTGTACGTAAAGCAGACTTGCCAAAAATACACAAAAAACACACCTGGACATCTTCAGCCTCTTGGTAGCTCCTGGGTATACAGTTCAGCTCAGATCCAACCACCTTCAAAGAATAAAAAAACGGAATTAAGGAATGGCAAACAATTTACGAGCTGATTTACTGCTTTAGTTAGATGTAGAAGGGAACTAAAGTCACTGCAATTTCTATCAGAGCAATCAGGGGCAGCGGTGTCTGCCAGAGTAGGCAGGATCCAACTTTATTCTATGGGAAAGGGTCTTCGTATGAAATGCTTAGCAAGTGAATTCAATTCTGTTTTTTGTGACCATTTCTTCTATGGAAATAAACACAGTAGCTTAATAAACACAGGCAACATTCTATCGCATTTTCGAAAGTGAGCTCAAATTGGAAGTCGAGGCCGGAAAGTCCTATCTTTCTTAGCTCTAGTACGGCGAAATCTGCAGAAACATTTGTAAATGGAAAAACACAGATTATTGCTAGTCAGAAAAAAATGGTGACTGATCATATTGATTCAAAGACTAAACGAGAAGCAAGTTCTCCACTATGTTATACGATTTCAAGTTGGCTTATGATTGCTCAGCAGCAAGTGCCTTTATCGTTATTGTATTTGAACTCATTTGTGACCTGTTTGCGGCCTCATCAATCAAGTTCGAAGGCGCAAACGTGCCCCCTTATTCACAGTAAGGAACTTGCCATTTGTATCACCATCTGCAGATCCTCTATTACATATCGCATTGCAAAACTATCATTTGTCACAGGGGAGGGGCGCACTGTATTACTATATAAACCTCAATCGTATTAATGCCAATTTTACGCATGTTGTGACTGGAGTGTCCCAGCTCCTAGGAAAAAGAATCTTTTCGTTATTTTTGTAAAAATTACCTTCAGCTCTGGAGAAATTATATCTTGTCCAGTGCCAGGTGGATTTTGCTTCCTTTTCTTTCCAGAGTCGCATAAATCAATCTGTGAATGACAAGTGAAAACAAAAAGCTAATGAGTCTCGACGTATTAATCAAATTTGTTGTTTTATTGTCACCTCCTCTTTACCAGGGGTAAGCTTGTTGGTTCGAAAGGAACAGAAAAGAAAGGAAAATCTAGGACCCCCGGTCTGAAGTGTATTGAACGCCTGATTAGCAGAAAGAAGGAATGGGATTAGATAGAATAAAAGAAGAAAACGATTAGAAAAAGGACAAAAAGGAAATAGAGGAAGAAAAGGTAAAGAAGAAGGGGAAGAAGAAAAAGAAGAGTGTAAAGAAGAAGGGGAGGAAGAAGTAGAAGAAGAAGAAAAAGAAAAAGGGGAAGAAGAAGAAGAAAAAGAAGAGTGTAAAGAAGAGAAAAAGACAGGATACGACAATGAAAAGACGAACAAGATAAAAAGGAGAAAAAACAAGAGAGATTAGAAAAAAGATGAAAGTGAAAGAAAAGCAATCAGCGGAAAGGAAACAAGGGGAAGAAGAGAAGAAGAGCAGGAAAGGAAGATGAAGATCGAAGAGAAAAAACCATCAAGCCCGCACTGTCTATCATTGGCTAACCTAAGTTAACTTCTAGGAATACAATCCATATCGCTGTCGTATAACTTCAATAACTTTTGGTTATTATTTGTCTTCTGACATTTATTTTGCTGGTCCAGAGAAAAGTCTTCTACTTGAAAATTTACTCGACTCTGAAAGCGCTTGAGTACAGAAAACGTGTCGACCTAACAACCCACGAGGACACGACTGTGAAGAAGAAAACTGAGAAAAATATAATTTCAGATAGCACAACCATATCGACCCGTACTACTCATTGTTTTCACTGTTATTCTGATGAAAGTTTTTGAAGTTTTGTTTTCTTGGCTGGCAGAAGGTCAAACATTTTTCTGAATTGGAAACGAAACATTAATTTCAGTAACCGAGGTTTCATGCATCAGGAAAAAGTGAAATCTAAGCAAACCGAAGAACTGATTTACGTCACAATCATCAAGAAGAATTTGAATCAGGTTTGGAATGAAAGATAAGTAAGAGGTTTGCAATCAAGAAAATTGAGCAGGTTTGCAATAAAGGATACTAAACAGGTTAAGAGCAAAGAATGCGAAACAGGTTTGTGATTAAGAATATGAAACAGGTTAGCAATCAAGAAAATTTAACAGGCTTGCAATAAAAGATATGAAACAGGTTTACGATCAAGAATATGAAACAGGTTTGCAATGAAAGATAAGTAAGAGGTTTGCAATCAAGAAAATTGAGCAGGTTTGCAATAAAGGATACTAAACAGGTTAAGAGCAAAGAATGCGAAACAGGTTTGCTGTGAAAAATATGAAGCATGTTTGCAATCAAGAATATGAAACAACTTTGCTACGTAGAATATGAAACAACTTTGCTACGTAGAATATGAAACAACTTTGCGACGAAAAATGTGAAAAAGTTAGCAATGAAGAATATGAAACGGGTTGGCAATGAAGAATATAGAACCGGTTTGCAAAGAAGAAAAGAAGAAACTATAATTAGGACTATGGCTACTTGATGGGTGCATCAGGCGTGGCTAACCAATTTTGTTTTACGCCTCACGACCATCGATCAACAATAGTAGCCTACCATGCCAGACTACCATGTAACACCTCCTATCCTCCACCTTTTCTACAATTCTCTTTGAAAAAACGGAAATCATGGGTCTACAATATTTAGAAAGGTAGAAACGCTGCAAAACAATTTACAGAAAAACTTCTGTTGTGATCTTCTTCAAGCAGTAATTTCGATAGCACATATTGACAACAGATTAGCGCATTTTGGCCTTTCGTTAATTGATAAACCAGACGCTACTAAGTGTAACTATGTACAAGTGTAACGAGACTCCATGACGCATGTGTCCTACGATTGCTTTTGAAAATTGCTGGCAGAAGCACAAAGGATGGAAGATGATCTGACCTTAGCAAGACAACGAGCTAATACCCGCATGCAGTGATTTTAATTGTGAGATAGCATGGTGCATGTGACACTGTCTAGAAAATCGTGAAATGTTCACCTCAGCACTATCTTGGCATATCCTGAATATAAACATCAAATTTTGCTAAATGAACTGACCGGGCAACTCACCGAAGAAGGAAAGATGTGCCTTTTTCGACATCATCAGATGCAAATAGCAAATAGCTTACAGAAATTCTTGAAAGTGTTGATCCTTCATCCAGATAATACCTTTTAACTCTAAAAACCTTCACTAGAAAAACAATGAAAACAAGATGTGGCACCGACGTTTGTTGACCCTGTGAGGGCATTGAATTTTGCGCTCTGAGACTTGTAATAATATAATAATCACAATGTAATAATATTTGAAATTATTGCCTTATGCCTTTAGATGCATAATTTATCTTGGATACAATCTGGAAGGTCTAGAGAGATGTGACTGCAGTGCTTCCACTTTTCGCTCAACCAAATTCCCGAAAAAATCCTTATTTTTGCTCAAAATTCCTTCCAAAATGCATGAAAAATCCTTCCGATTTCCTTCTGCCCTGTTACTCAATTTACGTTGATAAATGACCTACGGTCGTCCTAGAAATGGCGGGTATCGCACCCTGTGAGCTAAAGGAGACTGGAACGAGACTGTGACGCAACTTCACGAGACGGTTTCTTTATGTCTGTTCGGTATATGTGTTTTTGAAGAGTTGCCTTATGATCGCATTAAGCCTGAAACTAAGAGTAGCAACTTAGAGCCATCCTGTTCTATACACCAAAAGTGTGTACAGCTCTGCTTGTAAGGCATTGAGCACTTTATGACAGACTGAAAAACAGCTGCGACCGAGGGTAATTTTCATTCTATCGAATTGAGTATGTTTGGGAGGTATGGATTTGTTGTTTACTGCTGCACTTGTAAAGCCTAGTTGTCTTTCCTCGTGTTGACCTATCATATTTACGGCCTTACCGATAGTAACAGATGTAACGAACCATGTAACGAAAAAGTAAGTCGTTAAAGTGCAGACTAGCCCAGGTCTTTCCTCGCCGCATTTGCATACTCAGTTGGAATACTGAATACATTGTATAATTCAAGTCTAAAATCGAGTAGATGGAGAGCTTTATCCAAGCTTTGCAACACTTCAGGCCTTTTGCAACTCTTTTGCATAACCCGCTAATCTAGCAGTTGCCAAGAAAAAATACAATTTTGTGTTCGAAATCCTTCTATCTTCAATATTCCTTAGCGACGGGAATATCCGAAAATTGAAAAAACAGCACAAAATGTTTATCAATGACAAACACATGTCGCAAAGCACCATGGTAGTGAGCCATTGAAATGTGCTTACCTTGTATTTCACGGAATCATCGCCGTATGATAGCGAGCGGTTCAGTTTCACTATAAGCTCATCAGGCCTGGAGATAATCACCGACAGTCGAATGTCTTCAAGCTTGAAATCGTGAAAATACAAACCTGGAAACGAAAGCAACGTTTTCAATCAAGCGAACCATTTTTAAATAAGTTACCCATACTGACATCTTTTCAAGAAAAATGGGTACTAGTTCAGATCTCCACAAAGGGGGTGTAGTAGTTAGGGAGGTGGTCCTAAACCAACAGTATGCTTAATTACGGTGGACAGTAGCATTCCTCGCCTCCCTAAGACCCCTCCGAGCATTGTCTATTTTGCTTTTTAGGACATGTCAAGTCTTTTCTCCCGAAAGAAACATTGCAAACTCTTTACACAGGTGCTGTGGAGCCACACTTTCGATACTGCTGTTCTGTCTGGGGCTGTGGCGGTTTGATTCAAATTAATCAGTTAGAAAAACTTCAAAACCGCGCTGCTAGGATAATGACGCATAGCAACTTTGATGCCTCAAGCAAACCTCTCATTAAAGGGCTGGGGTGGAAGACCGTTGTGGAACTTGATACTGATGAATCTAAGACAATGGTCTTTAAGTCCCTAAATGGACTGGCTCCACAATACTTGTGCGACCTTCTAACCCGATCTGACCGGTGACCGACCTGACCAGTGACCGACCTGACCAGTGACCGACCTGATGTTACCGATGAAAAGGTCAACAAATGGCTAGAGATGTTTCTCTTATAGAGGTGCTCTTATAAAGTATGGAATAGCCTGTCCGCCGAATCAAAGCAGGTTTCCTCTCTGTATAGTTTCAAGAAAACTATTTAGAAACTGTTTCTTTTCGCTTTTATTGTAAATTTTTTAAAATTCTTGTATATAGGTTTTGAATATTGTAAATAGGGTTTTATAGTTAAATTCAATTTATGGCTTTTATTTCGTATCTTTTGTAAGTAACGCTTTTATCGGAGAGCAACCCTTCCAACCCAAGGGCAACCCTCCTTAAAAGAATTAAATATAAAATATTAATAGATAAAATAGAAATATAAACTATCAGGGCCCCCCAGTGACGGAGAGAGGGGTCCGTGGTCTCGTTTTTCAAAACAAAAGAGTTGCTTGCAAAATATTTTGTCACGAGTCTTTAATTCACCCTTGCCCCCAAGATTTAACTTGCATCGAAGCCTAAGCCTTGAGATACCAATTTACAGGTGGGTACCAATAGAAGTCATCGGTCGAGCTTGCGATCCACATCTGGTAGCATGGCAGTCAAGTACTGGGTAGTTGGACCTTGCTCTAAGATATGCTACATGACAATGTTGGTTGGTACCTTAGAATGTGCAGTAAACCATTCATTATTTTGTTTTCCGGTTAACAATACCAGCAACCAAGACATAGTATTCATGGCTAGGGTGCCGTCCAAAAAGGTTAGTAAGTGGGAATGTGCTTCAGGGAACGTCTAGAAGCCACAGCAAAAACCAAACCTATGGTCACAGCCTATATATTTGTGGTAAAATTTGTGTTAAAGATTATCTGTTGTGTATATGAAATCATTCAAACAATTCAACAGCATAACAAGGGTTAATTCACATTGCCAAGTAAGGTTTTTACCCAACCAAGCATAGAATGGCTTGTTAAGGGGGGGGGGCTGATCACCGCACAATCACTGTTATTTTAACAAGAGGGCTGAGCCCCCTAGCCCTGCTTTATGGCACCCCTGATTCCTGGCTAATTAATTTTTTGACAAGACCAACCTCGACTCAGAGTTTCCTTAAAACGACAACAAGCGATCCAGCTAGCTAGTAAGTTGGTTAATTAGTTAGTCAATTCGTTAGTTGATTAACTAGTTGGTTAGTTAGTTTATTTAGTTACAAATCGACAGGAAGCACTCAAAAGCTTTTTCAATCGATCTCTGTTCTTTGCTAAAAACATTGTAGGAATTCCAAAATGACATGACTTTGAACCAAATAGCTCAATATTGATTCGGGATAGGAATGCACCTGGCATGTTTCTCTAAGAATTATCTTCTGCTTAAAGAGTCCAGAAAATATTACGGTTCTACGGCTGTGGGCCGGAAGAAGGTTGTCCAACGATGCAATAGTTTTAAGGGAGACCAATGGGTAACTACCAAACCATATATCATTTTACTTCAATTCCATTTCTAAGAACCTTTTGTACAAAAGATATATGGAAAATTCGAGGAAGGCGGGAAGAGGTATGGTTTCTTCAGGAGGAGGGTTGAGGCACTTTCTGAAATTTGTCATAGGGCTGACAACTCTACCTCTTGGTGCTCCATCAGGCCCACAATCTCTGCAAAGGAGTTGCTTCTCAAATAAACACAATCAAAGCTCCGGCAAAGCGAATTGAACTTTCGATTTCGTAGAATCCAGCTGCCAAGACTCAAGAGGCAGATTTTTCAACGACTTGGCTCATTTGATGACGCTATCAGTTAGATTATACGAGCTTGAGTAGATTATCAATGTTTTTGATGTCATTTGCTAGCGTTGATAGTTGAATTATTAAAGGTGAATTAGTTTTATCGATGTTTCTTAAATCGTTTTGTGACGTAGATAGTAGGATTTTCTGAATTGATAAAGATTATCAATCGATCTCAAAGCCTATGCGATCATCAGGCACTTTTCTTTTTTTGTAATTAAACTTGGAACAATGTCTAGCTACACTAAAATTCATTAAAACCACAATATAAATCACACATAACCAATTATTACTTTCAAAGGTAAAAAAAAACAATTCAACGAGTGGGGGATAGAGTTCAATATTCGGCTTCATTTATTATGTTTATATCCCGGAAAGCATTCATCTTCAGGGACACTGCCTAAATGAGCAAAAAAGTAAAATCTAATACAAAACTTACAAAATTCAAAACAACTTCTAAATACTTTCTAAGTGAGAATCGTGGCCCATTTAGGATGATTGCTATTGGTGGTATACATAAGGCTCATTCTAGAAATGGCATTGTTTTTTATTCATATGTCTTGTAATGTAGCACTGTTATTTTCTGTTGGGAGTTGCTAAAGTTACACGGGCGTTCATTTATTACAAAAAAGCTATCCATAACCAATCTGAAAGGTGGATCTAAACCGAAAAATGCCTTTTGAAAAATACCGTAAGCCTTTGAAAACACCCGAATCGAAAAAGCCCCCACCTAAAATAAACCACCACCCTCAAATGAGCCCCCATGGAGGGGTAATCGATTATAAGAAAAAACTGGATATCATCATTTTTCACTGGTAGAGGTTATCACTCAACTCATTAGCCAGTTTCACAAAATATAACTGTTCTTACAAATTTCAAATTCTTGACCAACTTCATATCAAAATTCTTATAAATATTTTTTTATTAGTTTTCAGAGAAGAGTTATTGACACTATCCCAATATATCTGCATTTTCAATCAAACTGACCAGCCTCAAATAGGATAAAAACTTCACTTTGGCACTATTTTTGGCAGCTGCTCAATAAACCCCCAGCTTCGAATAAGCCCCCATCCCTCGAATAAGCCCCCAACCCAAAACATGTTTTGCTAAATAGCCCCCGGGGGCTTATTCGAGGACTTACGGTATAAATTTGATTGTTGTATTCTAAAGTTGATTGATAATTATGTGGTATCCTTATTGCCCTTTCATGAATCTAGCTGCATACGAAAAAGAGCTTTGGGCTGACAGTTATGCGTAAAGCAGAAAAGGGGAAGCAAAAGATAATACGAAATGGAGTTGCACTTTGTCAATGTACAGTTTAAAAATGACGCTCGTGGGTTGGAGCCTCTGACCCAAGTTTAAAAGGTAGATGAGCTGCTACTTAAATGAGAAAAAGAGCCTTTTACTCAACAGTAAACAAGAGCCCCTGACCCAAATGTAAATAGTGTAAGAGGAGGGGGTCTGATACCTAACTAAAAATACATTTTTGACGAGTATCTGAGTTTCAATGAACAAGAGTTTGCGCTTCGTTGCTTTTAGAATCTGCAAATTATTTTATTTTCTCTAGTGGCATGCTTAAAATTCTTTTTTTTAATCACGATAATCTCAAATAGCTCAATACTAAGCTGGGGAAATATGTCTTCAAATATTTCAACGAACTGGAAAGGGAAATTGATCAGAAATTTACAGATTCTGGTTTTGGACAACAGTGAGAGTTCAGAAAAAAATTCAGTCGGGCTTTCGAGTGAAAGAAACTTTGGATTAAAACGCAGCAGGGAGATCACGCTGGACTATTATTGGTGACCGGAATTGACCAAGAATCCGAGAAGAAGCGACGGTGCTCAAAGTGAATACCACTTTGGTTTTTGTTGAATTTTCTAGGATTTATGAATATCTCAATTAAAACCCGAATGAAATTCATCTTCGTAAACCAATGGTACTTCTTTTTAGAATAAGGAGAAAAAGAAGTTGCAAATCTGCCAAAATTCCATGAAAAGCGTTGCAATGTCAGTGTATATCTTCATAAGTTTTTAATTCTGAAAGTTTTAATTTTGTAAATTTTCACTCATTCCTAGTCTAGGTAGTGGTCTGTGATAAACTATTTCACTCAAAGAACGAATATAAAACAAAACCAGACTAAAACTTGGCTGCATGAAAAATTGCCCTTCAAATCACACTATGGTAGTCTGAATTATTGCGCATTTTTTATTGTAAACAAATGCAATGCAATGCAATGCAATACAATGCAATACAATACAATACAATACAATACAATACAATACAATACAATACAATACAATACAATACAATACAATGCAATGCAATACAATACAATACAATACAATACAATACAAGTTAACAACACAATACAATACAAATCAACAACACAATACAATACAACACAACACAACACAACACAACACAACACAACACAACACAACACAACACAACACAAATCAACAACACAACACAACACAGCACAACACAACACAACACAACACAACACAACACAACACAACACAACACAACACAACACAACACAACACAACACAACACAAAATGCAACACAATGCGAGAAAATGCAATAAAATACAAAAGAGGCTTCCAAATTACCGTTGATGTTTTCCCTCCTTAAAAATTAAAATGAAAAAATGAAATAAAATAAGTTGGTGCGGATTGAAAAAACAAGAGATGTTTCTAGTGGTTTTTGATTGGCTAATATGATTCGACTAAGTTCAGTATGCATTATCATGGTTCCATGTTTTCGTGTGATTCTGATGCAATAAAAACAGTATGGGGATACAGGTATCAACAGAATGGAAATTCAACATACCTGTGGTGTCTCTGTGATCTAAAAATATTTGAATAAAGAATTCGTAGCATATTCCACGACCAAGAGAAATTGAAGCTGGAAGACGATGGCCTTCATGAGAGGAGTCTTCCCATAGACAATTATCCAGTGCTGTGCTGTTCGCCGTAATTTTCTCCTTCCAAAATAAACTAGTCCCTACTTCATCTAATTTGGTGGCAAATTTCGAGTTTAATTTGTCTCTGCAATGCAACGTAAGAGAAATCCGGGAGAAAAACTGGAAATTAGATGACTTCAGTTTGATTTTTGCAAATGGGCAGGTTCTTTCTATCTTTCTGGTTTTAGAATGATCAATCTGACAAGAAAGCAAGGTTAGTTTTTCGCAATCGCCACGGCAACTCTGTGTGCAAAAGCGGTATCGGTTGATGATTTTCAGGTATGTGTTCTCTCGGAGCAATGAATCTCTCACCGGTACTCTTAGCTTTTTCAAGCATGCAGAAGTATTACAATTATCTTTGGTTGATACAAGCTGCAAAGTTATATATATAAATATATATTGATTATGTTTAATTATATATAAAAAAGCTATATATCTATTATAAGAATCAGAATAAGCATGAGCAGTAGGGAGAGCGGGCAAATAGAAGTTTAGAATTATCGAGAGGGCGTTATTGCCATTCTCTTTTGAAAGAAAGCAAAGTTCGTTCTCTAGTTGAAATGACTGTTAAAAGCAAACCGTACAAAGATGAAAAAAATATTCCCCTTAAATTCTTTTGAAAAACCAAAAGATGGAATGTTGAAATGAGCTAATTAAAACTCAATAATAAAAAGGAAATACAACATTCGAATTATCTAAACTTCTTTCAGGAGAAATATATCTGCCCAACCTAACTCTACGCCTCTGATTTCACATACACAAAGCATATCTTCGAAAAACTCGCAACATCTCTTGCACCATTGACATGTTCCACTTATAAAATTAAACCATGATTAGATTTATTCTTAAAAATTGTCAGATTCCATGGCTAAAAGCCAAGATTAAAACATTTATCATGAAAACTTATGCTAGATTAAGCGAAAATATAGTTCCAGCAGCAAAAGGTTTGGGGCCTGCTATGTCTCAACAGAATAACTTTGACTAACAACATTATAAAACTTAATCCAAAATATACAGAAAAGCTACAGTCAGATCCTTATATAAACTGCAAGAAAAGCTTACATAAACTTCAAAAGAATTACCAATTTGACATAATTATCTTCAAAACAGACAGTGCCCTCTTCTCCCTCCTTAAGAAACTTCTCTACATAGAATTTTTCTTGCCCTCGTAGATTTTTACTAGCCTAAGTTTATTTTTATTTCGAAACCGTTGTTGTTATTAGTGAAAATATTATTATGTTGATTTCAATTTTGTCCATTTGTTTAAAGAAGGTTTGTCTAGCTTTTGCATGTTTAACTGTAGATTGTGAAGTTTTAAATTATAAAACTGAAATGAAATGAACTGAACATCCCCTAAATATTCACCCAACCTGACTACAGGTAAAGTAACGCTTAAACTGAGAAAAGCTCTATACGTTCAACCATTATCACAATCATCTTATTTGGGCACACTCAGTTGATTGGCAGGTTGATACCATGTGGTTAGAGATAGGGTTATTATAAGTTATGATTATGATATGGAAATATTACCTAATGGAACTTCTGACGTTTCCGTGGCTATTTTTTTCTTGGGGTACAAAATGAAAATGATATGAATAGACAAAATCTCTTTTAGTGGTAACCGAGTAAAGTTAAGCGACACTCAATCGTAAAGTCTTAAGCATAATTTGAGGAAAAAATAAAATTATAGAAGAAATACCTGATAAAGTCCACCAGTTGAATCGAAAAACACAGTCAAACTTCTGGCTGTTTCTACTGACTTCAAATGCCTAGTGCTGATGGTACCGACCTTGCCAAAGTAAACCTACATGAATAGAGATAGAAAGCGTTAAAAGACAATAAAATCTATTTGATTACCCTCATTTAGAAACCAAAAAGCAACAAGAATACAGATAAAAGCAGCAAATCTTTTACGGGGCATGTACAGATTTAAAATATGTAAGAAGGAAGAAACGCAGGATGGGCTGTTCTTGCAGTGAGTTATAATGTGGTACAAAGAAATAGTCAGGAATAGTTTAATCTAAAATTATATTTCTCATATTGCAGATTATCGCTGTCCACTGTCGTTTTGCTTGGTCCCCACTGTACAGGTGGGCGATTCCAATTTGTAACTATAGCATCAAAGAACTAATCCAGTCATTAGATGTTGGTTTCACACAGTGACTACCAGTTCTTTGACGAACAGATGGTGGATTTAAGTCGAAAATCAGAGTAGCTCTTGTAGATCAAGCCATTCTTGAAGAAATTTGATACAATTCCTTCTATTTGCACTCCAAAAGATCTGCTCGTTGTAGACCTATGATTTTGTTTGTGTTCAAAGTAGAAATATACAACCGCAAACAGATTTTTATATATGAAGCATTAACAACAGTGGCGGACACCTGGGGGGGGCGAATGAGGCGGTTGCCCCCTAATATGTTGGGTGAAAAAGGTCTTTTGTTCTAAAAGATGAACAAATGTGTCGTCAACTTATCGAGACAATAGGCTTCCCCCCCCCCAATTTTGGAACGAGTGTCCGCCACTATAAGACATTTATCTACATAACGACTTCCCTAAAAATTCATTTTTTCATACATTTACATCCTTAATCAACCATTCACCATATTTTAAATATCCAAGTCAAAAAAGCTGTATACACCACCCTCGTTCGAAATTACTATATAAACAGAAAATATCTGTTGTATTTTGAAGGCTTGACATATTAAGAATTAGAATGTTGAAATTAGATAGATAATTCCACATCAATAAAACAATATTGAATGATTAAAATTAACCCTATACCGGACTCGTTTAAAAGCAAGCACAAAATCAGCTTTAAAAATCCCTGTAAAAAGAAGAAATTTTTCAAGAGCAACCGACAGTGATTCTAGGCCTTAAAAACTAGAATCATTTTACCCGCACTTGATTTATAATTTCGAAATTTCATTGAGAATTGTCTTCCAATGTCTTTTAGCCACACATCCTTTATTCTATTCTAGTTAGTTAAGCAGCACAAACATCTTTTAAAGGAGATCTTAACAAAACAAACCTTTCCAAGGTTAGTCACAAAGACATAGTCTCCTCGAAATGATGTCTCAAATATCTGTATAATCTCATCCTTCAGATCTACCATCTTGAATACTAATTGGCCAGCATTTGGACTGCAAAAATCAATGTGAAACATATAGCAAGAAAACAAGAGTTTGATCAGAAAATCTACTTTTGAAGTTAAGGTTTGCTATTCAAAAGCAACTAAGCTTCAAAGTTTTAACAAACAAGATATAAGATAAAAATATCAGAAAATCTGATATCGAAATATAGAGAATATTTAGACAATATAACATAGATTCTCAGAGAACAGAGACAATATTTATAAAACGTAATACGACTATAACATGTCGACTATAAAATGGAATATCTCTTTCAAATTACATTGATTTTTTTTCGATTCACGACTGTTTTCTACAACGGGAATGCCAAACAATATCAATCTATCTAGAGATCACTAAAGTCAATATGAAAACGAAAAATAATGGAAACACTAATAGTTACCTGTACAGCAAAACGCTACCCCAAATAAACAGATGATACGCATGCAACTGTGTGAAGGACATATCAATCAAATCGAATGATCCCATCGCAGATTTTGGCAATCGGGAATTTTCTAGTAGAAAAAAGCCAATAAACGTTAATTGCTATTTAGATATCTTATTACTGTATGGCTTTGTATCAAAAAGGTTAAATGAATGGAATAAATGAATAAAAAATGCGTGTAGTTATGCGTGCAGTTATGCGTGTAGCTATGCGTTTGATTGTTCATGTTGTCAATCGTGCTGAAATCGTGTAGTTATTCGTGTCGCTAGTGTCCTTAGATTGGCAATTATTCGTGAAGATGTTCGATTTACCACTTCTGCTATTTTACATAAAACTGTGATCAATGGGTTTAGAAACTGGTTTATTGTTGAGATCTTTTTAAAAGGATGTAAATATTCAAAACTTATAGTTGTAAAAATCATGTGAAAATCATTTAAAACATATAGTTGTGAAAATTAAAATCTTTCATCTAATATTTTTGCAGATTGTTACTGGCTATCAGCTTCCTTTGCATCGTCAGTAAAAATTGTTCTCCGTTTTAACGTTCTTCTATTTATTGGTTAAATTTGTTCTAGAAATACTATAGCTTGTAGGTTCTAAAAGAATATTAACTATAACTTGTAGTTCTAAAAAAGCTTTAGACACAAAATTCACTCTCAAAGACACATATCAGAGCATTACCTAATTTTCCTAAAGAAATGCTTGCTTTCCCACCCTTTTAGCGCAAATCCCAGTAAACAAAATTGAGAAGTAATTTTTATATCGATCGCTTGCAAAAATAAAAAAAACTGAGAGTTGACACCTACGGATATTTTCCTGAGAGAGAGCTTGGACGACTTCAAACGAAGCAGTACCAACTGAAAAATAAACAAAGTTTCAATGTTCTAGGCATGGTAAGATTATTAGGAAATTGTTAACAATAGGGAATCACAGGAAGTATTGACTATAAACTTAAGGTTCTTTTAAAATTGAAGGCCTCTTTCTGGTTTTTTTGCATATTCAATAATCCCACTTCCCTTATAGGTTGAAGGAAAACATTCTATAATCCTACTATCTGACTTAGTTGATATTCCTTCCCAGTGCCCCAACCAATCAGTTTTTAGGGATCCTGATGATTCTTATGAAGTAAAAATAAGTTGTGAAAATGATGATTTCTATATTAAAAGTTTTAACGTGTGAAGGCTGAAGGATTGATGTAATCTACACATCTCGCTGGAGGATATTTCTAAGCACAAATATACATCCCTTTTGTGCAATTTTCATACGTCCTTAGCAAAATCTTGGTTGTGACAAATCAATATGAGATGCAATGTAATAAGACACAAAACGGATAAAAAACAGAGGTGAAACTGCAAGCCATTACCACTAATTGACTTTTGTAGCATGAAAAACATGATGTTAAAACACATCGAAATAACTAACTGGCGATACTAAAGAGAAACGGCGTAATTTTTTAAAAAACTAAAGAATGAGCAGCCTTCTGCTTAACTTTTGCAGTTGACTCTTGGAGTTCGCTTGAAACACAGTTCAAAAGTGTGACGTCATCAAAGATCTCGTGTGAGTTGGTCAAAATTTAATATTGAAATTTAAAAATTCTAAAATTGTGAAATCATTTATCATGCAGCTCAAAAAAATAAGCTGTGCTGTTTGATACATGGTAACGAAAAATGAGCTTTCCATTTTGCTTTCCTTTGTATTCTGACCCGGCAATAGCTTTTTTGGTTTAGAACAAGAGTTTACTTGTGACAACGTTATTGTAAAATTTTCACCTGAAAATGATACCAGCAAATACTGAACCGCTTTGACAAGAACAAATAATTTATCGGCCTTGAGAGCGGAGGAGGCGAAAGCACGGACTTCACATTCTAGAAGAGAAACAACAGCCATTGATGCTTTTAATGGTCAATTTGTAAAATACTTCAATTCTAATTCAATTACTTCATTATAATACTATTTCCACCCCCACAAAACAGGAATATGTAAAACAAGGGTTTTGTATAGATTTCTGTAGTCCTTTGGCCACTTCTTCAAGATTTTGACAGCAGAAACAAAATTTAAGGATAATTTGCTTGTTTGTTGCTTGGGGTGCCAGTTACTTGGGGGCATTTATTGCTGGGAATCTTTCTAGTTGTGCGTTGTCTACTGATAACAGCTACATGGACCTCTGTCAGAGAGTTCTGCTTGGTATTGACACAGAGTCAGTTAATAAAGTGAAAGCATTTAATTGAAACATTTTATATAAGGTTTACTGCCCGTTAGAGGGAGATGTCCGTTGTCTGAGGCTACATGTACAAGGCATTTATTTTTGAAAAGAAATTCGAGATAAAACTGTGTCCGGTTTTTGAGGTGTCTGTAGTTATGAGGTGCGCGTTGCTGGGAGGTGGTCCGCTTTACGAGTTTCTCTCTTAACGAGGTTTCATTGTACAATGATGGTTACATTGCAAAAAATCAATCTCAGAGGATAACTCAATCGAAAAGGTGAAAGTTAAAGTAAACTTGAAAGTTAAAGTTAATTGGAATGAAAGAGGAATAGTAGTCGTTCTAGCAAATTAACGAAATTCTTCATTCTCAATATCTTAAAAACAAAATGAAACTTCATGTAAAATATCAATATATGACAAGACAGAAAACTCAATTCAAGCTATTTTACTCAATCAGACTTTGTTGAAGAAGCTATTTATGGGAAAGGGAGAAACTAATTTTGAAAGATAGAAACAACGATTGAATGAAATGGAAGATACACGAATCTGAGAGGCAGAAAAAAATGAAAAGCATTTTCATAGACTTTGAAAGGGTCGTTATTCTAGAAGACTGACCACAAAGGCCCCTGCAAATTAACTGGAAATGTCCCCTTTCTAGGGCTCAATATTCTATTGGCAAGTGGGTGCGCAGAAGACAAAAAACCTTATTATATACGACTAGCTTTGTTCCAAAAGACGGAGCTTTATACCTGAACCATGGGTCAAAAACTGGCAGATTGATTGATTTAGCGAGTTACTGGCTGGCTTCATGACCAACGCCTCACCTTGGAAAAATAAAGAAATATATATGAATAAGGTCAAAGTCAGGTTATGTTCTGATAATAACATCCCAAAATTCTGAAAGTTGACAAACAATAAAAGAAACAGCAACGATGAAAGAAAAGTGAATAAAGCTGAAGAAAACATAAACATTCAAACAGAAAATAAATAGCATTAGCTGATCTGGTGATAAGAAACTTAAAAGACAAATTTAGATTTAATGCTGGTGTAAATATAACGCTAATGGATAGATAGAGCTAACTGTACTGGGTAGTTATGCATACGAAATTATGGCTATTCGTTGCTTAAAAAGGCACAGCCATCCAACTGACTTGGCTTTTTCATTCACATCTGTCGTGAGAAACAAGAAATTAAAATTAACAAGCGGCACTGATTGGACAACCTTGACAGTCAGGTGCTCGCGATTCTGACTGGTTAATTTCGATCCACAACTGGGTAAATATAGTTCTTGGCTTTGAGTTTTCAATTTAATTTGTGACATTTTATACACTGAGCCGTGTCAGACAAATAGCTTTAGCAAGTTTCAAAATTTTTGCATTTTTCAAAACTTTGTACCGCAAAAAGATTGTTTGGAAACCAAAAGTGCAAAAAAGTTGATTTTATCTATGCTGGATATTTCTAAAGAAAACATAAATTTTGAGTTCTTGCCTTTCGAGACCTGGCCAAAGTAAAATGTCTCTGAGTTGTTGGATAAAGCCATGACGTAATAGGATGATTCCGAGGCTTGGCTGGTTGTGTCGATTCTTTCAATACAGGCTTGTAGAATGCGGACTGTAAACAGAACAAAATGCAACACGACTAAGTCATTTAAACAGGGTCTCTACAGCGTTAGAAAGAGGTTGAGGATTCTAGGATAAATGGGATTAAATGGAAGTGAAACGTCTGGCACATTCTCTACTTAAGTTCATATTCCCCCATCTAAAGCCTTCCTTTTAGGCAGTAAAGGAATTGTTGGGGGGGGGGGGTTGGTAATTGAAAAAATATAAGATTCATTACATTACTAACAATAATTCAACATACAAAGATATGAAAAATGTTTACTTAACATTTCAATTAAAAATGGAACATTCTTATAGCATCTTTCTGATGAACAGCAATAAATACCAAAGTTGTAGCGCCTTAATTTTCTAAACAATTTATCAACCCTTTCCAACACCTTCCTGTGTTCAACGTTCTTTCTGTAGGGATAGGAATCTTACCAACACCCCCAGGATTTTGTCGTATACTAGAACAGGATTCTGCTAATTTTTTATTGACATCCCCTAAAACAGTAAGCTCCCCTCTCTAAAAAGATTGATATGAGTGTCAGGGAATTATTATTTCTGATGCAAATACTTAATGCATATGCATGCAGTGTTTTAATAAAAAAACCGAGAAAGTAATATGCTAAGGCTTATTAATGTTTAGTCTACACTCGACTTCAATCTGACCCCCATCCAAGCAACTCGGGCTTACGTTTTTACCCCACAAGCATTAATTATCAGAAATAACGTACCTGGGTTCGTTGCTTGATTACTTCGATGAACGATATAGTACTGAAGAAGGCCAAACTAGGAAAGCAAGAAAACTTAGAGGCGATCTGTAATGATACTGGCAATAGCTTCGTTGAAAATAATTTTAACAAATTAGGACTTGAAACATCTTAAAAGAGAATAGTTGTATCCTTCTTGTAACTGCCATTACAATTTTAGGCCGAAATATGGCAATCATGACCCATCAATTGTAAAATGTTTTAGAGGATTAGTGGTTGTTATTTTACATGAGAAAATGAAAGCTAAACAGTTCCCTTGGTTGTCGTAGAAGTTTCATACTTAGATATTTTTCATACTTAAATTTTGTACAACAGAGACATGTTTTGATGGGCTGGGTTTGATTGGCTGTGGAATTTGTTTTTGGTTTTGATAACAAAATTAACAAAGTGATCATCGCGTTAACAAGGATAGAACGGTAACTAAAACTATTCGTCAAGCTTGTCATAATTTCAACCATTTCATACTCGGATGAGAGCAGGACAAAATACATACACAAGACACTATGTCTCAACTTCAATTTTGCTGTTTGTAGGGCTATTAAGGTGGCTATTAAGATGGGTCTTTAGGATTTGGGCAAAAAAGAGGTCAAAGAATATTGCCAGAAGAATAGTTCTTGTAAATGATAATACAATAGTATGTATATATATAACATATGAACGCACCTTTGTAGCAACTAGCAAGCGATCGGGTAAACTTAAAATATCTCTGACATCATCATCCCAACTGCTGCAAATCTCTGGTAGTGATTGCTTTGGTAATATTATCTAAAATATAAGAAATAGTATACAAAAAACCTTATGTTCAAAGTAAGCACTAGTAAACTAGCGATTCGAAGCTTCACATTAGACCGTTCCATGCCATTGCAAATGATTAATATCGATGTTGTTGTATAATACACCATCTTGTTGTTTCAATAGATGGAAATTGGTACTAGTGCACATTTGTAAAAATGGAGAACGAAACTCATCAGATTCGACCACGAAAAATAAATTACAGCGACAGTGAAATTTAAAGAGCAGCATATCAAGGTCTCTGTGTTGTGGAGCATCTAAAAAAATAGGTTTGAATCAATGCCAGCAACCACGGGTCACGGAACCATTGTAAATGATTAATGTTACTAAGTTAGGCTACTAAAAGAAGAGGAGAGCAAGCATTTATAAGACATGTTTGTTGACATACGGAAAGATTGTGTAGTAGATTGTTTAAAAATAACCAGACAATTTCTCTCGTATTTAGAGGGATATGTAACGAAAATGTAATATTCAAAATAAAGTCAAAACAAATTAGAAGGTATATGCATGGATGTACGTGAAACAAACATATCTATACAGGGCCCACGCCGCGAAATTGAAAGTGGGGAGGGGGGCAAGGCTAATGAAAGTGGGGGGAGACCAAGTCTACCTTCACCTTTGACTGTAGTTTTGAAATTACCTGCTTCAGAAAAAAGTAGGGGGCCATGGCCACCCCGTCCCCTCCCCCCCCCCCGGCGGCGTGGGCCCTGCTATACTTTGCATGATGTCTTCTCAGAGTAGCATAACTTATAGAATGATTAATAGTAATGTGACTTGGCTGTAAAATCATATATGATTAATTGGTTTTGATCAAACTGCACCTAGTTTGATTTTCTTATGAAAAATACCTTTGTTGTGTTAAAGAAATAATCGGCAGCCACGGCCTGTGAATCTTTAAAAAAATGTCTTACTTCAGCAATAGTTTTTCCTTCGAATTCACTGCATGTTGTAATAAGTTGCTTTCCTACTGGCAACACCCACAAGCCGCTGTTTTCAGGTATTCGTTTGATCTTCAAAAACCGTGCACTGGCAGTACGGTTCAGCGGAGTGACTGCCCCAAAGTTGAAAATTCTTTCCAAGCTTACAAAGTTAATTGTGTTGTAGAATATGATACTGCAAAAATAACATGATGTCAGATCACAGCTGTGGAGAAATATACGAATTCATTCCAAAGAATTGATTACGCAGATCTCAGGAAAGAACTATTATTTATGTACCCATTATCAAGGTTCCCAAATTTTGAAAGGAAGAACTACTCTAAGTAACAGAGTAGAGAAAACATGGCGACCGCCAATGAAACGGAGGTGTCATAGCCACTAATTAATTAACTAACTAATTAATATAATCAAATAACGATTTTTTTACATTTGAAAGTTATTTCCAACTTTTTTACCTGATGGAGAATTATGCTCGAGACATGGCAAATATATTTAACTTTTAAAGGTGCAAAGTTGTTTTTGTTACTAATCATCGATGATCGACATACACACGCTCAACTGCATTGAATCACTACCACATCCAACTTTGTTTTGGCTGTTCTTCTGAGAAATCTTTTAAAACATGTAAGTATCTTACAGAGGAAGAAACGTTTCTGGTCTACTCTGCTAAGCAAGTTGGTCAAATGCTTTGAAATGCTGCTAAGATTCCAGGACTCCTCAAATACGTGCAGCCAAGATTAATAAAACTTTGAATAATCGTCGTGGTTATTGTTCCGCCACCGGATCTCAGTACATTTTGGCTATTCATGTGGTGAGCCCCCCCCCCCCCATAAAAAATAGGATTAAAGATTAAGAGTTTTAATAGCTTCTTCACCTACCTCTTTGATGGTATAAACAAACTGGCTTCTGATGATTCCACCGTTATCATGATGGAAACAGTCAACCGTGTTATTGGTACTGGTGCAGCGAAAACAAGTTCACAAACTGTTGTCCCAGACAGACAATTGCTTTGCAAAGAGCTTGACAGGATCCTTAAAAAAGTAGAAAGAAGTTTCCATTGCCAAAAGCCTGACCATTAGATGACTTAAATGGCATGTTTAACACAGCTTTGTCAAATGTTTCTTTGGCTCTCTTTGTTTGTCCATTACAGCAATGAAATCCGAAAGCGTTTTACATGAACCCACTTTGAGCCCTACTAGCTCATTGAGAAATCGTAAATTTCTTCTTGATGTCCTTTTAACACATTCTTGAGTCTGGCACCCCTAATAGGCCTGTAATACTGTCATGCATCTGTTCACTGTAAGTAGTTTACTATCAGTGCAATCCTAATCAGAGGCTTCCTTGTGATAATTTTACAAAATCTAACAAAAGAGGCTTGGCCAGGAACCTGTTGTGGCTCCCCAATTTTTATCAGAATAAATCTTGGGCCTAAATTGGATTCAGAAAATGGAGCAATCAGCAAATTATAATAAGCAGGGATGTTTCCAAATTTCCTCAAAAATTCTTAGTCTTATGAAAACTTCAAAGCTTCTTCAAACAGTGGTGCAACCCCAAGCACCTTCACAAGTATATATAATATTGCAAAGTCTATCAGGTCTTGGTCAAAATTGTAAGGCCCATATCTTATGGATCAAGAAACTTATGGTCCCATGCATTCAATTTTCAAGATGTGCAATTACCAGTATGCACGCAAATATCATATCAAAAGAAATGTTTCCATTAAACTTTGTGTTGTTAGTTTATCAACATGACGGTAATCAACCTCACATTCCCTTGTTTTATGCAGCTGTCATATACATCTAACTTTGTACTCAGTTAGCAAATTTTTAAGACCCAGCAGTCATGCAACAAGCCTTTGCAGGCTATGAGATTTCCAAGTTTAAACAAGACCATAGACATGACTAGCAACAATCGAAGTATTCTGGCAACAGGCAACAAGTGGGCACATCAAAAGATAAAGAAAATACAAATTACCATTGGAATGTAGCATTCTGCAAGCACATGCAGTGATCAGATTCAACTACAAGTGGATCAACAATGTGGAGCTCTTCTTTGTTATTTTCTTTGTTATTTTCTTTGATCATCATTATGACTCTTGGGTTCATTCCTGCAGTAACTCTACTGAACTCATCATTGTCAATATGCTAAAATATGCAGTTTAGGATCGTAAATACAAGAATGGAATATGAAAAAGATTGTCCTGATATTATATTTTTAGTCACAGTTTCTTAATAGGAAAAAATCACATTTTATTCAAGGAAATTTGAGGTTTAGCATTTTAAGTAATTATTGTTAAGATTTACAAATGCCAAAATATTGGAAATATGCATAAGAAATGCTCTCTATTGCATCTGACTCAATTTATTCAAATTCTCAAATCACCTTTTAGCAATAGCTTTTCATTTTCATATCAATTGATGAGGGTAGCTTTCTGTGACCAATTGTATAACAATTGTATAACAACATACCATAAATCCTAGAATAAGCCCTTGGGGGCAAATTTGCAAAAATGAATTTTTGGATGGGGGCTTATTCGTGGGGGGGTGGGCTTATTCGACTGTTGGGGCTTATTCGAGGATTTACGGTATGACCATGCCTGTTAACAAATATCAATATGAGAAAATGGGATCATCGAAATGTCGTCAAATAGTGTCCCAGAGAATTTCAATTATAATAAAAAAGCTCAGAAACCAGCATTTAGCCTGCATGCAACTGAGTGCAGACTCTGTTGAATAATTGACAAGTCCCATTTTAAATTTGTCAGTAGGCAGGCTACCAGTAGTAGTCTCACCAGAGTGCATTCCATGTCAACTGTACGCCGAGGGTCCACTGGGGCATTTGTTTAGGTACGTCAAAAATATAAAAGCAGTTGAGTTAGTAAAACTGTAAATATTGTTACGCCAGACAAAAAAATTGATTATTCGAGAAAAATGTGGTGTATGAGCCTTTATTTTGCGTTAACTATGTACATGACCTCATGTTTAGCATGTCAACTAACAAAAATTTTAAGTACGCTAAACAATTTTTATTGGTTTGCACACCAAACGCCAAAAAAAACCTGGTTGTACGCCGAAGATCTTTGGGCCTA